TGCTTTGCACCAAGAAGGTTCTGCACCGCAAAAATACAAAATCTTAAATAATTGTTGGTCTAGTTTCTAGTGTCTGCATCTTAGTACACTTGAAATAAGACTTAAAAGTAACTTTTCAGCAAGATAGGAGATTGTTTTAAATAATAATTTCCATAATGTTGATGAAAAGGTTTTGGCTCTACTGTCAGATATTTTCAAAAGCTTCTTGCTGCAAGTGAAATAAGTGTCATATAGCATCAGTTAGGTTTGTCTTACTTTAAGTGTGCTAAGATAAGAAACAACCAAAAGCAGTTGGTAAGGTTTTGTGTTTTTGCAGTGAGACTGAACCCCAGCCTGCAGTCGGTCGGTCTGCATGTTCTGCTCCTGGGCGGGTTCTCTCCAGCTTCCTCCCACAGTCCAAACACGACTGCTAGGTTAATGGTTACTCACAGCAGCTACCTTTAGCTACAAGTGGCACAAGTAGATTTTATATCAAATAAAAAAAAACAAGAGTCGACAGAAGGAAGTTCCCTTTATAAATGCAGATGGTCATTATGCAAATTTAGCATAAGCAACGTCAGTAGCTTTCATGGTGAGGAGCTGCCCACTTCCCACATGGATGTTTGTTGGTTTATGAGCCAATTCAGTTATGTAATTATTTGCTGCGCTCCATGATCATTGAAAAATCTCTTTGACTTGCAGCAGTTGAAGAGCTCGTACATAAATATTGAATATTCCTCTGTGGCTTCATGTACCTTAATAATCAAGACGGAAAAAAAACAAACAAAAAGAAAAGCTTCCTCCGTGTTTGTCGTGAGGTTGGAGTCTTATTACAGTTTCACACACAATCTGCTTCTTTTTTTAGCTGCCGTGTCAACAGATATGGCGCTCAGAGCATCTCACTAATTATGCTTAGAGAAAAATAAATAAAAAATAGGAAGGTCATCCTTGTCGTCCCGTCAGACAGCCGTTCTGCAACGCTTCATTTCAACTCATCTCCGTTTCCATCTTTTTGAAATCTGAACCAATAGGCTGTTCTTTTAGTTAGTGATATAATTCCAACCTCCTGTTTAAATTTTTTTCTGCCTCCCTTTGTTATTACAATAAGTTGCGCTCTTTTGTTCTTTTATATTTGATTACAAAGGCTATGATTTTGCCCCTGGACCATTTGGTTCTTTATGCTTTTAACAATTGAGTGCCTCTTTATTAATGAATATTTTTTTATTTAACTGATTACCATTGTTGGCATAATGGAAATTTTAATTAATAACAGGCTGTGTTCTCTTGTAATTAATGGGCCAATGTGTCTGTCCGTTTCGTTTGCATTTCTTCCCTCTGTGCTGTTCTGAATCAATGCACATCTCTTGGGTGCTTGTATTCAAATACCTGAACATTTCTTTTTAATGCAAATAAATTAAAGAGGCGGCTTTTCCTCGCCTGCCAATCAAGGAGAAAAATCAAATCTCAACTTCTCCCTAATCAGAACTGATAATTTATTCAGAAACAGCCACATCTGTTAATGCAAAGTCAAATGAACAGATTTCTGATATGTGCTCTTGATTAACAGATTTTTTTTCTTTCCCAAAGACAAGGCATAGATGTGTGACAATGAAATCACTGACGATTAAAGAGGTTATCAGAATCAAGGATAGACGGAGTTAAAAAGTGAAAGTTAAAAGGCAAACATTAACAGTTTAATTGGAGGCTAAACCTCTCAAATACATAAAGTATTAGCATTAATGACGACGATTTTTAGTCAGGAAAGTATCAGTACTGACTGAGATCCTGAACGGCATCAAAGGTTTCAGGCATTTAGATTTTGACCTTGGCTGAAGGTGAAGCTGAAGGAGTCTGGAGTCAGTCAGTCCTCCATTTTTATCGTTTTACCATCTTTGTGTCACGCTCAGACTGAAATGGTCTCCTAGCATGATGGATTATTGGTTTTTAGAGCATCTTTAACATTCTTGTCATTATGAACAAATATTTCATTTTTAACTTTTTCCCAGAAGGTTTCTTTAAAAGTGGCAGCAAAAAATGAAAAAGCAACCAGATCAACCAGATCTTTCCTTCTGGTGCTGAATCAACATACAGCTTTTTCAAATTGTGCCGCTTCCATATGTGGTTCAATTCAGATACATGTCTAATTGTTTTCTACACGTCTGCAGTCTGAACAGTTGTGACGTTTTATCCAGTTTTTACGTCACTCATGTGAGACGTGCAGCGTAATTCTGCACCAGATGAAGCCAGACACTGGAAATCTGGACATAAAGGCTGAAAATTATGATTATGAACTTATGAGTTGGGAGTCTGTCAGTAAAGCGCGTCACATCTCAATCCCACCACATCCAGGCTTCTCTACAGACCTGCAATCAGTGCTCCACAAAAGGTCGTTGCTATTAGTTTTGTTTCCTTCCTTCATCTCATTATGACCTCGTGACGATGCCATCGGCTTTCATTGCCGAGTTTAAAAAACAGTGTGAGTGCAGTCCTTATGACGTCCGATTCCAGCTTCGCCCATTGCTAAGTATTACAAACTCTGCTTACATGTGGTGCATTATTGTCGCCTGCTCTCTCTTGATGGATAGAGATCAACACAACAGGAGAGGAATGTGGATTTTATTTCTCCTCTGATTACTTCATGTTTGCTTATTCAGGCTTAAACAGTCATTGCGACAATGATCGTTTTCAAACTTTCAACTGGAAACACCTGTCGATAATGAACCATCACATCCTCTGATTTACCATCTCAACTTTCTGCTCATCATCAGTTTTAACTCCGACATGCTACTGGCCATCAACGAGACCGAGACCAAGGTGATAAAGTGTCAACGATTCTCTCCACGTCTAAACTGCAAAAACAAAATCAAGTATATTTGGACTAGTTTCTAGCAAATATCTGAGTCCACTTGAAATGAGGCAAAACTAGTTTACAGGTACGTTTTCAGCAACATCTAGGAGCTTCTTTTAAATCAATAATATGTTAATATTAATAAAGATGGCAGATTATTTCACTTAGCATGGGAAACATGTCCTGTAATGAGTGAAACGATCTGCAAGCAAAGTACTGACTTAAATATATTCTACAAGATATTCCTATATCTTGTAGAAAAGTCACTTCTAAGTTAGCACACTTGAAATAAGATATTTGCAGGAGAAACTGGACAAGAAAAATACTTAAGATTTTGTGTTTTTTTTCTATATAATACATGAGATGTTTTGGCAGATGCAGACACCATGAGGCAGGTTTGTTTTAATGATGAGGCATTTCTCAATCAACCCTGAGCTGCCTTTGCATGCTGTATTATATATGCTGGCAATCATCACAAACGCCTTGACAACCTTATGCAATCCAAAACAACTGCTCTGCAACATATTCTGCCGTGTCGCTTACACAGCTCATTTTCTTAGTGTGTCAAAAACAAGTTGATTCAGCCTCACAAAGCACCAGCAACACACACACATCTCACTGTAAAGCTGCCATTATTAGGTCCACCGGGAATAGGTGACAGTGAGATTGGGGATCTTGTAACACGCTGCAATCACAATTAGAAAGTGTGTCATCAAACAGGTCTAATGAAAACCAGCTTTGTGTTTTCACAGCAGCGGTTTGGCTCCGGGCGGCCCGATTTGGGCTGCTTTAAACACAGCTGTTTTCTGTGTCTGCCATCCGTCGGCGTCATGAAAAGAAATAGATCCCATTAAGACAACATTGTTGCAACAGTTCATCTGCCGCCATCATCTCTGCAGTAGGTCACAACTGAAACCACAGAGAGACGAGGGCCGCTTTGTTGCAGAAGGAAAATGTTTGTCTCGTTTCATCTGTCTAATGGGAGCGCCAAACTCATGAGATAATCTAGAGCAATTGATGCTGCGAAAGATTACGGGATTACAACAGAGAGGGGAAAAAAAAGGGATGATAAAGGAACAACTGTTGAACACAAGGCAGTTTTTCCAGCAGAAATCCCTCACTGTTGACTAGAAACTGTTCCCTCAAGGAACGAAACAAAATGTAGAGCTAAAGTTTTCACCAGAACAATAAAATCATAAAGTCAATGGAAAGTTGATTGTTTACCATGAAAGTGAAACAAAACAAAAACCCTTGCAGAGTTTTAGGGTTTTCATACAAAAGTGATCAGATATTTACCAAAAGTCGTTAATAATGTAACAAGAAAAAGGAGCCATGTGTGAAACTACGTTCACTTTTACTGTTTTTATTGGCTTTAAGTGCAAAAGTAACATCAGGATGCTGTACTGCATTAGCAAATCATCAAATCTGACTTATTTAATAGGTTTTTGATCATTTTCTGCTTTCCAGCAGTCAGGTGTGTTTGCACAATGTCAAAATGGAAAGACATCAAAAATAACGAGCTTAGAGAAGCAACTGTTAAGATCCAACAATCTGGGAGGGGTTAAAAGTTCATCAAGGGATATCAGCAATACCAACACACCTCCCAAGAGAAATCATCATGGAGACAACAAGGTTTATCTGGAATATTTTGATTCACTAAAGTTATTTATAAAGGAATGATGTGTGGCCAGATTTTAATCCGTTGTGTTTTGCTTTTGTCAGAACAAACCATTTCGCCCCCTAGTGCCAAACTCACAAGTTTGTTTGGTTGCATTTACCCAGAATGCCCTGCATTATTGTTCACTTCCTGTTTTTGGAGCGGTCTCAGGTCTGCTTGGTGTTCACATTCAAACTGCACCAGAGTTCACTTCAACTGAGCCGAGGCTTTTAGACAGGCAAATAAACTAGAGTTTAATTAAAGCGAACCAAACTGGGTTGGTGTAAATACATGTTAAACATTAAAGCTCATGACAGGGAAAATAGGAAAAAGGACGGAACAAGTAGCTTATCTGGAAGTAGAAAGCTTTGGTCGGAGTCATTTGGACATGAAAACTAAGCAGAGATTTTCCCCATAATGTACAACAATAATGTTGACAGCATAAAACACAGAACTTCAGCAGAAACTGTCAGGCACAGTGGTTAAGATCTGATTTCACATGCCTGAGTCAAACATAACCTGAAGCTTTGCTCAAACCTGGTCATCAACAAGACGACGATCTCAAACACAGCAGCAGATCCACAGCAGAACGGATGGAAAAGACAGAAAAGTCCAGAGAAAGTAATGTTTTCTAACCTAAATGAAGCAATATTGGTAAGAAATGTTGATCAAAACATGATCACAAGGCCAAAGAGACCAAAAAAGTTAAAAGATGATGAAATCAGGTTGTTCAGTTTGGTTCTGTGTTGTCCTGTTCTTAACTTTTCACCAATGTTTCAGGTAGTTTGGCTTTTCAAACAGTCATTTTAGAACCTGATGATTTTTAATGTTTTGTTGCACAAATTAGCATTTCCAGACCCGGAAGACCATTTCAGACAAATATAATGGCTCATAAACTTTGCAGCTCAACTTATAATTTGTGATAATACAGCTTAGAGATTTAAGAGATACTTAAAACAAGTGTGAGATGAAATAAATATATATAAAAAAGAACATTTCTAAAGTCTTACAACAATCTAAATAAGCATTGCATGGAAGGCATTTAAAAATCATCAGTGCAGAAAATAATCCATCTTATTATGAGCAAAACGTCTACCACTTCCCATTAAATATTTACCACTCAAGTCAAATCCTTTCACTAGTGTCAGAGAAATCACAAAAACACATCTATTGCCAACACATGAAGATAAAACCCCTGGCGGATCAGAGATGATTAATAATTACTAAGCCACACTCACATTTAAGGGAAAAACACACAGCGTCTTATAATTTTTAAATCATTGCAGCTCAAAGCGTTTAACCAATTTGTCATCATGACATCCCAACAAAAACATATCTGCATAACTCAAGGAGACAAATTCCACAACAAATGCCAAAGCTTGTAGGAACAAAAATGCATATAAATAATCTATTAAGGCCCAGTCAATGCAAACCGGCACAAAAGAAAGCAGGACTAACAGAAGCAAGCGCATAATGAAAGCCAACTCAGGAATAATGAGCACAATAGGCAGCTTTTGTACCAAACAGAGCAGAGGGGACAGAAAAGGAAAACAGAGCCAGCAGAGGAAAATCAGCTCCTACCTTTCTGCAGTCATTCTGCAGTTTTTTGGTTTTAATCCATCCTGTAACTCAACCAAAGTCCAAAATCTTCACCTTTTTCTATTCCAAACACATGGAGCTCTTGAGATTGTGTGATTGCTGCTTCCTTTCTTCTTTGATGCTTTCTGTTCCCTTCACTAGTTATCACACCTGCTTCCTGTCACTCATCAGCTCTCTCAACAGATTCAGGTAGAAGCTTCCCTTTGGCAAGACTAAATTAGAGAGGAAATGTGGAAAAAACATAACATAAAATGTCTGATTTCTTTTACCAAGACTGAAGAATTTCAGTTTTTACTTCAAATTCAAATGTATTTATATAGTACTTTTAAAAACAGGTTAAAACTGCACCAAAGTGCTGTACAGAAAGAATAACACAACAGAATAAATTTATGAAAATAAATAATAAAAATAAGTAAATAAAATAAATAAAACATCACAACAGAAAAGTTACAGTATCAGACCAACTAGTAAAAATAATTTTCTTAAAAGGAAACTAAAGGAAAACTTCCAGGAGTAAAAGTGAGAAATTGATTTTAATCCAATCACAAACAAAATTTCACTAATTTTTACAAAAGTTTTTACAAAAAATATGCAGAGCACCAAAACCTTTTAATTTTTTTTTATCATATTTTTACATTTTATTTTAGATTTGCATGCATTTCGCTGTTTTGATGTAAATGGTAAAATATTTTCCACCTGCTCCTTTTTGGAAAATTATTGGTTTGTTAAATATTTAGTTGTAAATTTACCTAAATAAAGTTAATCTGAATCTGAATTTTGCCAGGTACTGCATTTTGAAAAGAACTTAGTCTGCTTTAATTTGGTGATTTATTATAATTATGATTTCCCCCCTCCCAGAAATTCTGACTTTAATTTTCTGAGAAAAAAGTCAGAATTCTCAGATTAAAGTCATAATATGTGTTTTTTCCCATAGCGCTACTTCTCTTCCGTACAGGAGCGGCATTACTCAGATATTGGTATTTTGGGGGGTAAAAAAAAAAAAAGCAATCTAAAGTGTTAGTCCAATTAATTTTTTGCCTATGCATTTAATTTTTGAGTAATTTTGTGAGTCTCTAATTGAATTGCGGTGGAGGAGGAGAACATATCAGTCAAATTAGCCGTACATGAGAAAACCTAATCTCCATCACGTCCTCGTCCTCCTGGGAGAAATGTTTTGGGGTCTCGTTATCACCCAACATCGGTCATGTACTAAGAATAATAGTCTATCATTTGAATAGCAATGAGAAATGCACCAATGGGTGACAGCATTATAATGCCATGCTATGCTTCTGTGAACTTGGCAATTTGCTCTGAATCACCAATTACTCCCAGTGTGTTGGTGCCTTTTTATTTTTGTCTGTGTGTCTGTTGGATCTGCTGTAACCTACAGAAAATCTACAGCCACAGCTCATATTTCTTCCTGTCGTCACGGCCATGGCAGTTAGCAACGGCGTAGCGGGAATCCATCGACTCATTAGGAGAATGCATAAATAGAAAAGCTGAGGTCGGGGAAATTATAGGTTCAATAGATCAGAAGAAAAGTAGAATCAGAGAAGCTTAATTCAATCTTTTGAAACATCAACCGTGAAAGGCCGTATTTTAGAAGCCAGTAATGCATTTCAGCTAAAACTTCTTCTTCTGTGGTTGTTGAAAAGTTTATTTAAAAACTAAGAAACGATTAATATATACACAAAGGTTTTAGCTTCTGGGTTAAAATCTGCTTAAAGTAGATAATGAAAGTATTTTATCCAATGAATTCATAAAATAGAAAGTATGTCCAACAAGATGCAGGTTTGAAAATGGCTGACAGTTAATTCCCTCACTAAACATCCTCTTGATGATGTCTGGTTTCAAGATAAACTTTAACCTCTTCCCAACTTGATTGGTCACAGTTTTAGTAGTTTTAAACTTGTGCTTTTTTAGGGGAATAATTGTTATTGTGTAGCATATTTTTTAAAAACTAATTAAGCTCACAGTTACTTACTGAAATAGAAAAATAAATGCTCCAGTTCCTTTTATTTATTGGAATTTATTCATTGGTTGTCCTGCTAAAACAACCAAAGAATCCAGTGTCAAGTTAATGTTAGCTTACAAATATTCTTTGGAAAACCAACTTACAAGGATATGAGTTTGATCTCTCACACAGATTTAATTTTAACTACATTAAAGTTGTAACACAACAAGATGCAAAAGTAACATAATACACAAATTGTTGCCTGGTCAAACACAAGCATAACTGAAAAAGCTTATTTTTAAGAAGCCAAATGTAATGGAAAATGTTTCCTGTTTCCACAAGACAACACTTAAGCTAGTAGCTTGGAGTTGTGACTATTTATCTTTTATTTTCTCCCGGTTTACAACTTCCATTCAGTCAGGCTTGTGGAAACTCCATCTCACTGACAAAGTGAGAGAAAAATCCATAGTCCTCTGAGGTAATCACATTGCATTACAGCCTGTAAATATTTAAAAGGCTCTGAATATCATAGCTGCTTTCTGCCATAAAGTAAACATAACTATGTCAATAGGGTTTTCTTGTGCCGAATGTGTTTTGTGTTTGTCAGAAGGGGAAAAAAATTGCTTCCATCGACCTGCGTCTGTATTAGCAAATATGCTTTCTGCCTGGATATGTTGAAAATGCTGGAGCTCTGTTCTGATCTGCACACGCTCATCTGAAGCCTCATATTTTAGATTAATTTGGGAAATATGAATGTTTGTATGTTGACGCTGCAAAAATGCAACATTTTACCAAGTAATGTTGGTTTAGTTTCCAGTGCAAATTTCTTATTACACTTGAAATAAGATAAAACTAACTTATAAGTTACTTTTTAGCAAGATATTTGAGCTTGTTTTAAGTAAACAATTTCTTAACATTGATAAAACAAAGCACCATTGGCAGATTTATTAACTTTTTTTTCTCTTGTCATAATCACTTTCTTAAAAATCTAAACTGAGGAATTACTGACTTAAAACAAGCTGCTGTGTCTTGCTGAAAACTGAACAGATTAAAATCTGTTTGCTTCTGGAAAGTGCAGCTTAACATGATGTTTATAAGAGATACGGCGAAGCCCAAATAATCCCTCCAAATAATCAATTATAAACTGTTTTTTGTAGGTGTTGATCTGGTGTGTTTTTTTCTGTTTGATGTTTGCTTCCTAAAGTTAAACTCCCATTGGTCTATTATAAGAAAAGAGTTCTGAGTTCTTCTTAAACTGTAATGGGTCTTAAGTTGTTGAAGGATAATTGCAGTGAGATGATTCATTATTTATGAAAGATTTCACGTCGTTAATCTGCAGAATGTTCTGAGCGCCTGATCATTTTCCTTTTCGCCTGACTTGGTGTTTTGCAGATCTTCACAGAGAGCTGAGTGAACTCTTTGATGTGCAGTCAGTTTCCTTGACTGTCATTGTGAAATAGTTCTCCTTGACAGCTCTTCCCCGGTGTTTTCATTGAATCATTATCTGTGTCAATGTTTGCACTCAGCCTCTTTTTTTCCCCTCCCCTCTTTTGTCTCACAGCTCCACACTGACCTCGATAAGGGGGACAGTTCGGTGAAGTACACCCTCTCGGGGGAAGGTGCTGGCTCCATTTTCACAATTGACCAAACTACGGGGGACATCCATGCCTTAAGGAGCCTTGACAGGGAGGAGAAGCCTTACTACACCCTGCGGGCTCAGGCTGTGGACATCGACACCAATATCCCCCTGGAGCCGGAATCGGAGTTTGTCATCAAGGTCCAAGATATCAATGACAATGAACCAAAATTCCTGGAGGGACCTTACACAGCCAGCGTACCCGAGATGTCACCAGTCGGTAAGAGAGCATGCAGAGCCCTAACATAACTGCAGTACACTTCAGATTGACGACCAGAATTGGCCACAGGCTCTGGCTTCTGTGGCGTTTAACAATCATGCAGCACAGAGGAAGAAACACGATAAAGTAAAGTTCTGTTAATCTACATATTATACTGTAAATAGAGGAGTTGATAGTTCAAACTGTTGAGGAAGTAAAGAAAACAAGGAGCTTCAGTTGTGACATCTAGAAATTACTGATCAGGTCTGAAATCTGGGTGTGTTGAGCCACAATACATTAAAGATCTGCTGTTGTCCTAATTGTCCTATTTACGTCAGGTTTGGGCCCAGAACTAAAGTTAATCGGTTGAGTTGGATCAGGTTTGGGTTGGGTTGTATTTTTATTTTTTTATTTTTTGGCCCAATCTAAATTCTACTTTGCAAGGGAAACTTTTCTTTCTCTTTGAGAAATAGTAAAAAAAAAAACAAAACAAGTTCAGCTTGAGAGCAGAATGGCTACAACCAGCGGGGTAACGCTGCTCCACCTAACAGATTTTGACATTTCAGAGAACCATTTTATTCCTGGTGTGCCCTTAGTACATTTCACAGCTTTGTCTTTACACTTCCCTTGGGGGGAGGGGTGGCAGATCAAGGTAATTCGCTGGGAGAATGGTTTTCTCTTGATGTGAATCACAATGAAGCCCTCAAAACTTCAAATTCAGCAGTCCCGGGGAAAGGATGGGTAGAAAGCAGGGAAAACACGGAGCAGGCTTGGCGGGCTCCCTGAATCAAAGGCAGCTCTGTAATGTTTACCGTAGGACGGAGGCTTTCAAGTTCGTCAAAAAAACATGCCCATGAAAGAGAAGTGAAGAGATCAGTTAGAGAAATAAAAGATTTGATCTGGGTTATCATACAATGTCTTTATCCAGCTTAATTCATGTAGCAGTCATAGAAAATTACATTCCACAATGTTACAATATTTACTATTTAGGCCTTGGTAATTAATAAAGTCTTGCCAATAACCTTTAATCTGAAACATAATCTGTCCCGCTTCACCTCATACCAGATAGTCCAGTAGAACTGATTTGATTTGAGGCCAAAATTGTAACATCTGTTATGTTTTCAGCTGCTGTGGTTCTCTTTCACACTGCACTGTCAAATGATCCAAACCCTTTGAAAAAACTGTTCCCCTCCTGGCCTGTGGTGGTGCTGCACCAAGAACCACTGAAGGAAACGACACAAAAACCTCTGAAGACACTGAACGCAGCTTCCTTCTTCATCATAAAATGTAAACAAAAATGGAGTTTCGATAAAAGACCACGAGTCATTTCTCCTGCTAGCGATAGATTAGCATTTGTTTTGGTTGAATTTACCATGAATAATTTGGAGTCATGTTCTGCAGAAACATCCATAAATACAAAACCACCCATAGGTAAGTTTAACATTTAACTCTGTTATAAATCAGGCACTTTGGTGACAGACAACATAAATAAAAAGCATAAAATATGAGCCAAAAGTTGTCCGTACTGAGATGCAGCCATCATTTGAAAATGCAAAGTCATTGAATTAAATTGTAGTGAAGTGTTCAGAGGGTAATGAATTGCCAGCCTGTTGTGTTTATTACCAAACACACAAACAAAAACGCCCCACTAAATGTCCTAAAGAGACCAAGAGCTGCTAGGCAGAAATTTGCTTCAGTGGCTGGTACGTTAGTAAATGCAGCAAACATTTAGCCAAGCAACAAATCTTTCCATAATCCCTTGTCAATAAATAGTTTATCCCTGAATCATTTAGGGAATGAGGCAGATTAAAAACACTATTTCAGGGAGGTGTAATTACTGCAAAATGAAGTCTTATGCTTAATCAATTTGTTTCTTCCACTGCCTTTATACAAACTTCCACTTTAGGTTGTTAATGTGTTTTTTTTTTAACATCAGACTCATGAATTTTTCTGCAAAAAACTCCTTCTCGTAATCGGATCAGTCTTTAGATAGATGCAATTCTTATCTCCCAGCCTCATGCTTAAATATAAAGCATGCATACATTGTGCAGCCTGCGACATTAATTGCTTTCCTTTACACCACTGCATTAATCTGGAGTAATACGCTGTTTGATGAAGTTGGATGGTTTAAGAATTTGAACCGTTTTTTTCAATGTGTTCTCATTCAGGCATTTGATTTTCCTTCTTCCTCCAAATTGAAATCCATTTTACTGGTTTATAGCCTCACACTTATGTAAAAGCTGTTACCTTTGTTGCATGGGAATGTGTAGGAGTCAGAGGCGCTCGGAGGCTTTCAAACTTTCAGCTCATACAGGCTGCCGAGGCTCTGCTCTCTTTGCATTAGCAGGAAACGTGTTATCTCATCTGCTCTGCACACATGTTTAGCACAGCCCTTCTACAGCATTTCTAATCAGCCATCTTTCAGGAACGCTAATCTCTCTCTCTCTCACTTCACCTGATATTTTAATTCAACCACAGACTAAAAAAAACAAACAAATAAAACCATTTAATATACAGCGAGTTCTTTACAGGCATCAAGCAGCGTAGAAAATGACCAAGTTAAGTGCCAGCCCTCCGGTCAGTGCCTCTTGATCATAAAAAGCATCCCACACATCCTGCAATTTTCGTCTTCATCCAGTATATTTTTACACCGCCCAGATGGGGGGGGGGAGTCATTCTGAGCAATCTGCTTGTGTTGTGGAGCTAGAAAACCTGAATCTGTTGAATTTTAGCAAATGCTTAGAACTGTTTTTCGCCAAATAGAAAAAAGCAGATCAACGAATCTTCATGATTGTAATCACACACCCATTGTTGTTTCTCGCTTCTTGACTCAAATCATTGTTTTTTTGTCTCTTTTCCTGGGAGCTTAAGGCAAATATTACTTGCTGATAAGCTTTTTGCCAATTTCCACTTGCATTTTTTGACCGTTGCGTCATTGGAAGATTGGGAAAAAAGCAACATGGCCAGGTGAGATCAAAACTGAGATCCAGAAATCCAAAATCAAACCTCAAGAACAATATCTCTACTGTGAAGCACGGAGGGGAAAAGTAGGAAACAGTAAAGATGGGCAAAATCCACAGTGAAGACAGAAGAAGTGGCCAAAGATGGCATTAAGGTCATGGAGCGGCCTAGTTAAACTCCCGAACCCAGTCCTATAGAAAAGCCATAGCTTTAAGTTAAGGACTCAGGAAAACTAAAGGATTTAGAGTTTTTTTGTAAAAAAGGAGTCAAAATCTCAGCTTACATGTCAAATCCTGGTGACCAACTATAGAAAACATGTCGACGCTTTTATTCATCAAGATCTCAGTTGTAGGGGATCAAATATTTATTTGACCTGCAAACCAATTATTTATCAATTATTTAGTGCATTTTTTCTGAATTTTTTTAAATAAAGTGTCTTGCCTGAGGACACAACAACAGAGTCAGAGAGCGATGGATCAAACTGGCAACCCAACGATTATGGGACGAACTCCAATACTGGAAACTATCAAACTGCAGCTCCGTCCTGGAGAAGTCCGTTTGGATTTCTGGCAAAGAAACAACACAGTTTTTATTTGGTGCAGTGGAAACATCAAACAAGCATAATTTAGCAGAAATGCTCTTGTGGGAAACAGCTTGTGTCAATTAGGGATGTTGAAGCTGATCTGGTAGCTAATTCTACTCCATTCGAATGAAATGATGAATTGTTGACATAACAAGGACCCCGACGGGGTTAGAGCTGCCAAAAACTGTACTGAACTTAGAACAGAACTGCTTCAATATAATTTTACTCAAGTAAAAGTTAAAAAATATCCTTAGAAAAAGGATTGAAGTAAGACAAAAAATATATTTGGTAAAAAAAAAAAAAGCTACTGAAGTAACAAAACATCTGATTGCATTGTTACAAAATATGTAATTACACAAAAAACTAAATTTTTGGAGAATAAAATAATAATAGAAAATAAGGCAAACAAATAAAATAATGACAAAATAACAAATTCAAGCAGAAGGAAATATTTCCAAATTGTTCTTACTATATAAAACTTTTGACAGCATGGTACGTTAGAACATATACTGTATCCTTACTGTATCTTCACTTGACCAGCAGATAGAAAATAACATTAAAATGATGAATATGGTGCAAATTTGACTCAAAAATTAGTAGAAGTAATATTACTCAAGTATTAAGTAAATGTTGCCAGTTGCTACCCACCTTTCCCAGCACTCAATGTGCCTAGAAAAAGAAGAAAATTTGGGATATATTTTTGGGAATATCTTTATGAATTCATCTATTTTCCCCAGGACAAAAATATATAAGCAGTTGAGTTAAACCCAACACTTATCACTAAGTGATTAGTGTTGCTTCAGGAGACTGGAAGGCTGTTCCTGACTCTGCTCTTTGTTTTCTTAATGGGAGCATTGTTCAGTGAAGTGTTTGAACCAGAACTTTTTCCCATCACATTTTTACGGCTGCTTTGTAAAGCTACAAACATGCAAATGCAACCAAACAACAGGGGCGCTAAATATTGTCCCTCATTCCACTCCAGCAGCTTCAGCTGCAGCTTTCTCACCAGTGACTCAACACTCATTAGGCGTCAGGTGAGATCCTTTGTTAGGCTGATGAACTTCAAACGAATCTGGATGCTGGTCTCATGTGGAAACAGATTAATTCAAGGTCGGTTTGTGTTTTTCCCTCCGCTCTTTTCCGCAGGGACCTACGTGACACAAGTAACAGCCACAGACGCGGATGACCCAACCTATGGAAACAGTGCCAGAGTTGTGTACAGCATCCTTCATGGTCAGCCATACTTCTCTGTTGACCCCAAAACAGGTAAGCTAAATAGCTTTCTTCCCACGTCTCGTATGTGGCAGAAATTTGAATAATTAAATTCTAGAGGTGACTTTTGTGAAGAACTATCACAGTGAGATCAGCTACTCTTCTGTTAAAGGTGACCTATCAGGCTTCTGTGAAGATAGTAGGATAGATCTATGGGCTACATGAAACAGGATCATTATATTTATTTGCACAGTCATTCTTAGATAATGAGATTTTAGTCTGATCAGTTCTGCCTATTTTGAATTCCTTTTAGAATGAGCTTCTTTAGGGCGTCTTATCACTTTAAATCTAAATATGCCCCCCAAGGTCAACATTTACACTCACATATTAAATGACTGCAGACAGATGCGCAATTATGCAACCGGATAGCTTTGAAAAGCAAAAGTGGAGCCTCCTTCGCAACCAAAAAAAAATGCAGGAAATGGTTTCTGGTCAACAACAAAACACTTGTCTTTTCCAGCAGCCATTGTACAGTGCATAAAATTTGTCAGCGCTACAATCAGCTGACAAAACGTGCTGAAGCTTACCTGGGTTGCTACGTAACAGGCGGTGCCAGCAGTTTAGTGACGTTCCATTTCTGAGGCATTTGGCTTATTTTCCAGACACCAAAAACCCATCTGAGTAGTTTTTGTTTTAATGTTTGGACTGTTTTCAGAATAAGTAAAACCCAAATGGAAGTACAAAGATGTACAAAGTGTGAATTTTGCACAATGCGTCTCCTTTTAGAGAAACGGGTCGAGGCCTTTATGGGGGTTTCAGGAAGGAAAACTGTACTGGACTAGAAGGTTGATACTTGGACCCAAATGCAAGAAAGGACACAAGCAGATGAATCAAATTAAACTTATAAAAACAGAGCTCTGTGTATCAAGAACTGAGATCAAAACCCAACAAAACTATGACAAATAACTATAAAAATTTAACTTTTTGATTAATTTACAAAAAAAGTGGAAAGGCAAGTAAATCTAACAATGTCACAGGATGACGGTTTGCTATGCTGTCCCATGGGTCCAGACTCGATGCAGCCAAGTTGCAGCTTCTTCCTCACTGTCTCAGGTGTGTAACTCTGGACACTGTTCAAGGTGTTCATGATGAGTCTGCACCAGGGGATGTCGTTCTGGTACAGGAATAGAGCCTAACACTTACACTTTGGAAAATATCCAGCTGTGCAATCTCACAAATATTTCATTTCATGTAGAGGACTTCTGGCACATTTTATTACTAATATCTCACATTATGGTATCTAAAGTGTTTTTTCTTAGCACATTTCAAACTTTTTAATATCTGACCTCTTTCTAGGTCTATTACCTGAAACTGTAACCATTCACTTGTTTTAGTAACGCGGAAAACTTAAATCCTGATTTTTCATCCAGTATTAATATTGTACATAAAAAAATGTTAATATAGAGATGTTATCTGTCATAGCCATTCCATACTGCAACATGAGCTACAACAAAGTTAACACTAAATTAACATGCTAATACCAACATTCACTGCGTATTACTGTGTTTTTCAGACTTGTTTAAAATGCACAGTAATTCCCTAGATGTCTCAGCTGTTAAGCAGATCATCTACTTCAGCCTGAGGAGAAGGATTTAGAGATAATTAGAGAAATGGGTTCTTAAACCGTATCTTATGCCATTGCAGTAGAAAACATGTCAAAGTTATCTATCCGTATGTGATTAGGCACAGTAGACACACACTTATGGGTAAAAATTAGACTTTCAATAATTAATAAGTCATAATTTTCTGTGCCAAGATTAAGGTTGATGATTTTTTAGTCAAATACTGTAGAAAGCAACAGGACACCATTACTCTTTTGATCCAGTTTAGGCCAAACTTTTAATGTTGCATTCAGTTAATTTGCAACTCTTGCCTGTGGTGGCGCTGCAACAAGAACCACTGAAGGAAACAACACAAAAACGTCTGAAGAAGACATGAACTTACTTCTTCACGAAATGGAAACAAAATTAAGTAGTGTCAGATTTTAGTGGTTGCAGGATTTCTCTTTTGTCTTTGGTAAAAGACCACTAGCCGTTTCTCCAGATAGCGCTGGACTCTCATGTTTATTTTGGTTGTATTTACCCAGAATGCCTTGCACTGTAGTCCACTTCCCGCTTTTGGAGCTGTCTCTGGTCTACTTGGCGTTCACATATGCATTCAAACTGCGCCAGAGTTCACTTCAACCGAACTGAGACCCAGTTGAGCGTTCACACCAAACGAACCAGACTTTCTAGGCGAACAAACTAGAGTTCATTTTTTGAATATCACTGTTCCAGAAATCCTGGATGGAACTTTGGATCTAAGTTGTGCTGGAATTTTGTTTCAGGAAGAAGAAGCTTTCAGCTGGGAACTTGTTCAGTTTCATTTTCATTATTCAGTCATGAACTTTTACTTCTGCTGTTAGCTCAACGACTACAGCTCCAGTTTCTGTCTTCATGAAAAACGCAGAGTAACCCAACTTTTGACACAGTCTGTAGAATCCTGTCCAGGTTGATTAAAGCTGATTTTGTCTCATCAAAGTCCTGCTACAAAGTGTTACTTTGGTAGACAAATTATTTATGTAGCCGATTAGAATAACATCAGAATCCTTTTGTACTGTAAATATCTGGTTTGGCCCCATGCATGGGTGGAACTATGTGCACAACATGCAACGTTCTGTAGGGAAACTATATAAAGTGACACAGAAACAAAATGTAGAAAACTCCCAGTAACCTGGGAACATTAAAGTTTGTCATGCAGATACAGCAAAAAAAAAAAAAAAGAGTGGCCTAATCCAAAACCTTACGTCAGCAAATGCATCTTTCAGCAGCAGTAATGTATGTAGTTCACTCTGCACTTAACTAAATTATTAATCATGTGAAATTATGTCAAGCTGAATGTAAACATCACAAATACTGGAGAAAAAAAATCCAGCTGTTGGGTTCGGTAGAGGATGCAGAAGGCCACTTTGTGGATGAATACCAGAATATTTTAATAATAATAAAATAATAGACAGGTTTAGTGGACAGCTGCCCAGAGCGGCATGAGCTGTATGTATTATGCAGTGACATTTTTGTCTTGATCAAAAGGCAAACAAACTACACATGATTCTGTAATGCACTTTAGTTTTATGTAATTTTTGTACACAGTATGTTTGTGCCTTGCTTTGAGTGTTTACAGCATTGTTTTTGTTTCTTTCACATGTTTTTTTCCTAAATAGAATATTAAAAGACATATGTGTGTGTCTGATCTAAATGATGCCTCGCGGTGGAGGGAGCATGTTGGCCCAGGACACCAAACAGTCTTGAACCGCCCCTGCTCCCATGTCAACCCCCAGAAACGAATCAAAACGAAAACCTGCATAAAAGAGGATCTTATCCTCATCTTTACCAGCAGTGTCAATAATTCTGAAGATGTAAAATACTCTGCAGATGTCTGTCAGACAAAGCTTCATAAATATGCAGCGTCTTTCAAGTACAGTTGCGATGGCAGAATGCTATTATATCACTGCAGTGCATCAAAACGGGAGTTAAAGCCATGAAATTACTGAATCTCCGATGCTCTGATTGTGGGCAGCCAGTGTTCTGCAGCTGACGGTTCAAACTCGGGTCCCTAAAAGAAAAATAAAACAAAAGCATTTGTTTCTGCTGCATTGACAGAATTTATTTCTCTCACTTATTTGTTGATAAATTGTGTCAAAAGCAGGTGAAAAGGGCTCGGGGTGGATGTGGTATATGGAGCATGACTGCTCTAAATCTGAAATAACTTTGCACCGGCAGAACAGTGCTGCTGTTCCTCTGCTATCTGGGGCATTTCAATGCATATGGAAATAGGTTCATGCATATCACACAGCCAGATAAGGTGGAATCTGTTGCTGATCGCGCTACTCATCCCACAGCTTTGTAGAGAACCTACTGTGATTATATTTCAAAGTGATGGTAGAAGAAAAAAAATGAAACTGTTAAAGCAAATGTTTGTCCTGCTGGGGCTGCTGCTATCTCCAAACACACAGGAGAAAAGGAGGGAGAAACGCTGGCAGGTAAAAGGTGAACAAAGGGACGCAAAGTTGTTGTAGTTAACTGAAACTAACAAAATAACAAGAACTGTTAGAACTGAACTAGAACTGCAAAAGTTAGGAGAAAACACAGACAGATGGTTGATCAACAATAATTAAATATATGTTTGAAAATGATATCTTCTGTTGAGTCTTCATCACTCAATCGATGTTTAGTAATCACAAAACAATACTTTGAGATTTCTGAATTCTACAATTGAAGCAAAGTATGAAAAAATAACTAAACTAAAACTAAACAATCTTTAACTAACTAGCAAACATACTCTAAAAATGAATTAAAAAAACAAAAAATTACAACAAAATATAAATTAAGACCTAAACTATAACAAACCCGGAGCGATGACATGCACTAATCTGCCACAAAGAACGACGGCAAAAACATCAAAAACAATCAGCGTGTCAGAGGTCTGTGGATCAAATGGAAGAGCATCTCCATGTAATTGATGGAATAATGGAAAAAGGAAGTTGAGTCCAACCTGTGCTGCATGCTTCTCTTTAGCCTGCCAACCTCCCATTGACCCCGCTATTAATCTGCAGTATAAACCCTCTCTGATCTCAGGGTCTCAGATCCTCCAGTGAGTCATTATGTGGCTTCACCAGTCCTCCGTATTGAATGTCAAGTGTTTCCAGTTTGTAAGGTGACCTCCATCGGCCTCATACTTCTGCAGCTCCATGCGGAGGAGTGAGCTTCTCTGCTGGCCATATATTGTGCATTTTGAAGTAAATTGAGCGCCTCCCTGCTTGCCTTGTGTATAACCCTCCATTTCTTTCTCTCTTTATGTCCCAACCGCTCTTTCCCGCTACCTCCTTTTTCTTTTTCCCCCCACTTTGTCTTCCTTCTCTTTTACCTCCTACTCTCATAAATCTTGTTCTCACACCAGGTGTTATAAAGACAGCTTTGCCCAATATGGACAGAGAAGTGAAGGAAGAGTACCAGGTATTAATCCAGGCCAAGGACATGGGGGGGCAACTGGGAGGACTGGCTGGGACCACCATTGTCAACATTACGCTCAGCGACGTTAACGACAACCCACCCAGGTTCTCTAAAAGTAAGTGTACTCTGAATACCTTAATATTGATTAAAAAAGCATGAGCTCCACTGACAGATTATGTCACTTATAGCAAGGGGGGAAAATCTTGTTATAAGTGAAATAATCTGCTTGTGTAAAAAGATTCATGCGTTTTCGTCGCAGCAAACGTCCCACGAAAAGCAGTGATCCCTGAGAAAAGAAGCTGTTACACTGATAAGTAAATCTCGTTCCTGCATGTGGAATTGCAGTAAAAACCTATGAAGTGTTTCACAGGTAACTGGGATGTATACTTTTCAGACTTTTATTCTAAAATCACCTTGAAAACCTTCTAGAAATGTCCTTCCACTCCAAAATATGCTCAGTTTAGTCTGTTACATAAATTTCCTCAAAAATACACAGAGTTGCTGGTTGTAATGTGACAACGTTTTGACACTTTGCGATGAATATAAGTTTTGTAGGAACACAATGACCTTACCCAGGTTCACAGATGATTTCAGAATAAAACAAACACTCCACAATTACAGCAAGGCAGGGGGCTTTCATCATCACTTCTCTTCCTAATTGCTTTTCATTATTTGTCATTATGCTCCGTCGTAAGCAGTGGCCTGTTTATTTGTTGTGATTGCATCTCCAGCTACAACTCCTGGCAAATAAAGCAGGGTAGATGTTATTTGGCTCGTGGGCATCCGTCTATATTTAGATCAGATTTGAGATTTGTTGCTGCAGCGTCAGGGATTCAGTCGGTGTGTTTAAACTCTGTATTTTTGTTCCCGTAAGCTGCTGCTAAACCAGATTACCTCGATTGTAGCGTTTACTAAATCATGCGGAGAGCCAACGTTTAAAATAACATAAGGCAAACCAAAACATCTGCTTCTCCGCATACTTTGAAGCACACGTATTAAAGTGTATGCTAATTATATTCTTGATAGAAGCAGCAGGGGAGCAAGAACAGAAAGCAAAAGATACTCCTCCGTATTGATGCGGCTTCTTTGTGCGCTCTGAGGTGACACTGAGCGCTCTGCCCTGAATGTAAATACAGCCAGTCAGACGGTCAAGCTCCTCTGGCTGCTAGGAAAAGATGATATTTCCATAATGCTGTCACAGCACTGAGGCTTGGGCCAAGCATCCCCGCTCCTCTGCCCCATCCCATCCTCTTTTGTCTCCCACTGCTCACCGCTACAAAGGGCATTCAGGTTTTAAGGAATGAGAAGAAAAAAATTACCATTGAAGATTGTGTGCATTGTCCTGTGACGTTCCTGATTTGCCCCCTTATGCATTTACTCTGTTTTCTTTTTTCTTTGACAAACATAGCGTCATCGTTTTAATATGAGACACAGACTAAATACAGAATTTAGTTTTTAAATAGCTGTTTCATTTATGACAGGAAAAATACTCCAAACTAATTTGGTCTTGTGTGAAAAAGTAATTGCCCCCTTTGTTAACTGACTAATGAACTGTGACTAATAACATTTTTTGGAAAGCGGAGTTCAATTTTATTCGCCACACCCCGGCCTGATTACTGCCAAATCTGGACAATTGTGATTTTACTTAACTAGAAGCTGTCTGACAATAACAGGTACATTAGAAGAGAGAAATAAATAACCTCCAGCCATCTGACAGCCAATATTCAGAAACGTGTAATACAATAAGTAATCACTCTCTGCACTCAGGAGTGGCTGGCCGTCCAACGAAGGCTTCGTTCACGCAGCAGGTTCTGATGCTCATTTCCAGTCTTTTACTAAAATACAATATTTTTATGTTGTCGTTCTTACAACTAATTAAACCCGCCTGCAATGAGACGTTGGTGTGAACGGTTTACCACCACAAAGCAACGCACATGCACACAAGAAGGAGGTTGAGTAGCAAAAACTGTTTATGGGAGTAGTAACAGATCGATTTCAAAGTTCAGCAATGGGAGTGAACGGCGTCACACGATCAGAACATGAAGGAAGCTAATAAAAAGAAAGTACAAGTAGCAGTAGTTTTGTGGAGTACTGAGCAAAAATAGAGAATCTGGTTTGGATTTTTCCTGCTGTGTAAATATTGCCTTACTTGCACATTGACAACTGGGCCAGAAAGTCACAGAAAAGCCAAAAGAGCAGCTCAGGCTTCACCTGAAAACAGATGGAAGAAGGATCTGGGCAAAAATTGCATTCACAATCAGGTTTCAAAGCAAAAACCACTAATAACCAAGAAGCATCTTAACACTTTTAAATCCTAATGAAACAATTTCACTTGTGTCTTACGCATATCCATTACAGCATTTCAGACAATGAAAATGATGCCATCAAACATGTTGGTGTTAGTGTGGTGGGCTGGGCTGCTTTGCTAACTCAGAAGTAGCTCCATTCCACATAATAAAACCAACATAAAGGTGTCTGTTGATGTTTAAATGTACTAAAGTTGATTTAATGAACTAACCAAGTCAACACCTGGCCTAATAAACCACAAACGTCACATTTTTGGCTTTTTTCTTTCGCCAAACAAAGACAAGGATCTGGTTAGGCTGGAATAGACATAAGAAAATGTTGATTGCATCTAGTTAGCTGTAGATAGCTTTCATCTTATTTGAAAGGGACAATGTAGATTAGTCACATCAATGCTCCCTTATCTGTCATTAAGACTAATTCTCATACATGAAGTTGATTTTTGAACATCAGCTCAGAGAAGGAAAACTCTATAATCAAACCCCCAAACACTATATTGAAAAAAGCCCATCTGCGAATGCCACTCTGTGTGATCAAAAGATATTAAAATGATATGAAAGGTGCTAATTAAGCACAAGGCCTTGAGATGTGATGAATTACTAAACATTTTTTTGAGAAACAGCAGAAGCTGGTATTTTATCTGGCTCAGAAATGAGTTGGTGCTCAGATTGCTTCAGCTCATGGAGTGAACGTTTGGGTCAACTACACACTGGAACCAGTTTTATGGGAAATTATCCACAGATAAAAAAGCAGTACACCATACAAACTGAAAATGACTGCTTTGCTTTGAGATCTATTGCTTTGATAATTGCCTAAATACCAAGAAAAATGTGGCAAAAATTACAATTTAGAGTCAAACAACTGGAGAAATACTTGCATTTGATTTTTGCACATTCCTTTTTTTTTTGCAAAAACTTTGTGTTGTGACAATGATTTTAAACAATTTTTTAAGTACAAACCAAAATAGTGTATTTTAACCTTGTTTTACAAAGGCTGTATTCATTTGCCACCAGCGAAAACCATTCTTTTCCTTAATCCTGTTTCGCATGATGCATTCACACCAAGATGGAGTTGGAGTTTATTTTGTCAAATAAGGGCCAAAGTAATCAAATTCAAACAGAAAGATAATCAGATTTTCTTGAAGCGCCCTCGGCTGTTTTTTTGTTGTTGTTGTTATCTCAAAAGTGAAACATGTTTGGAATTTTTCTGGATTCAATTTAAAAATGTGCAAGGACAGAAAAAGGGAAGTAGCTCAACCGTTCAGAGGGAAGCAATTTGAATTACTTATGGAATTTCATTCAATAAAAAAAAGTCTCAAATGTGTTGAAGTTAATCATTTCTACATGAATGTCCAAACAGAGAAAAGAAAGAGGACATTTTTAGTTGTGTTGTTTCTCAGATCGTACCTAAAGTTATGGACTCTGAATGACTCGCGCCTGTTTCATGATCTCGGCTCGTACGGGTGTCAGACGTGAAATGCAACCCAGAAGTTGTCAGTTTTCTGGCACAGACAGAAACTAATCTTTAAGCAGATCTCAGAGAGTGAAGTGAGGCATAGAAATGATTAATTTCCTTCCACTTCAGGTGTAAGCGATAATCAGTCAGCTGTTTGCCTGTCCGTGGATTTTATTTTTTAATTTTTTAATGCCGCAGCACCTGGGATGTGCCGTTTTTCTTTGGTCTTACTGGTTTGTTTCAGGCCATTTTAATGAAACTCCAATAATACCATGCAAAAAACTAAAGGCTTGACATCAAACAGAGAGAATCACAGCTCCTTTGCTTATGGGTAAATACTTTTCGACATCCTTTGGAGGGTGAGGGAATAACTACAGAAGTAACAATGTGAGGAGTTCGCTGTGTTTCCTTTTGATGTCATGTGATAAACCCGTCTCTGCTCTCATTTTCTCGGACAGGTTTCTTCCACCTGAGAGTTCCTGAATCCTCTGCAATGGGGTCTGCTGTCGGCAGAATAAAGGCCCATGACTTGGACATTGGGAGGAACGCCGAAGTAGAGTACACCATCGTTCCCGGCGATGGCGGCGCCATGTTTGACATCACAACCAATGAGCACAACCAAGAGGGGATGATCATTCTCAAAAGGGTACGCTAACTATTAATCTACTTACAATTAATTGTTGATTAAATGAGTTCCAATTGATTAAGTAATAATGCACGCCTAGACCTTATTCCAGAGGTGTAGTTTGGCTGCCATCCAGTAGAGGGCGGCGCTGGTCGTCCTTAAGTGGAGCCAGATGATACAGAAACAAAGATGGCGGGGTCATACTCTCCATCATGTTTTACATGATGGAGAGTATGTTACGACAGAATAGCAAAGGGGATGATGGAGAAAAGTTGTAAAAATGTGGATAAAAATCATGATGTCAAAAAGCAGGGTTGATTTTGAGAGCTGTCAAAGTTTTAACATTTTACTTCAAGAGCAACGGATGGTACTTCAGTTGTAAATATCTCTGTATTCATGGGGAAGTAAGAATATCGTATGTTATATTCCTTTAATTTTTTTATGTTTCCATTGAGCTAACCTAAGAAATTCCTGTTTTGTTATATTTGACAAATATTTTGTCTAATAATGTGAGAATACCAACATTTTCTCTTTATTCAGTCAGTATTTAATACATCTGACAATATTTATATTTAATGATGTTTCTTTTAAATTCAACATATTCTGAAAAATGCAAGCCTCTATGTTATGGAAAGATGGTCAGCCCTCTTGATATAAGGGAAAATGGCTGCTTACTGATTAATCGTTAGTCAGTTGATAAAATCAATAAACAGATTAACTCAATCAATAATTTGCATCCTTACTACATGAACTCACTTCTTCCACTTTTCACTCACTCCATTGTTACATCTTTTGATGTGATGCGTTTTCTTCCTTGGTTGTAAGTCGAGGCATAATTTCAGTTTATTGGTGCTTTGTTGATAAGTCGGTGGTAGGATGGAGGACTGGGACCTATTCTGCAATAATGTGAGCTCACAGTAACAATTACTTCTCTGCATTGAAAGAAATCAGTTGTGGTGGTTTAAATAATCCCTCTGCCGATTTTTCAAGCATGTCCCAGTGGGAGATGACTCAGCAGCAGACCCAGAACCTGCCAGAGCAAATATATATATATATATATATATATATTACTTCTGGTCTGTGAACAACTTGGAAAATGAGCTGTAGAGTCGCTCTACAGGTGAACTGTCAAACTGTTTCTTGTTTTTCACTTTTGGGACCAAACACAAGCCAACCTACTGATTTGTTTTAGATTATATTTCATGTCTGACATGAATCAGATTAAAGGAGGCGACAAATAGCAGTTTGTTGTCAAACCAACAATGCAATAATGCCTTATTGGTTAGAAGGCTTAACCTTACAGGCCTCTGCTCAGCTCATGTGAAGCCTGTAAGGTCAAATGATAACTTTCATTTTCAAAGGATTAGGCCTTTATGTCAGATATGCAGTGGACCCTTGGTATTTGCAGAGAATAGGGACCGATTACTTAAATCTGAATTTAAATCCAATGCCAAACATACCTTAATATGCATTTATTACTAATCTAATATGTGAATCTGTAAATACTGAACACTGAATAGGTGGGATCCCTCTTTATGTGGCTTTTTTAAGCTGCTGAGCCGACCAATAAAAATGTGGAAAATCGGCTAAAATGCAGTTCAGTCCCACACAGTTCAGTTTGCATTAAAGCTAAACTAAGCCATTCACTACTTGTGTTTCTCAGGAATATTGTTTATACTAGAACACTTGTAATTTTAATTCAAAATAAATTGTTTATCCAAAATACGGATTTTCATTTTACTAGCCATGCTATTAGAAAGAGATGCATTTTTCCAAAAGTATAATTCTGGAGCTTAATGCCAGCTGATGTTATATTTAACAATGTATAAAACAATATTTTAGTAAACAGCAAACAATGTAAGTTTCTGCTTGTGAACTGAACCAAAGTTAATTACGTGGCTAACCTGAGATTACATGTATTCTGGCAGGTTTTATTTGTTTTATTTTTATTTAATTTCTAAAAATTGTTTTTGTGATGCAATCACGTGATGTGTTAGATTAGCGGCAGCTAAATGTGGATCCTAAGTAAACGAAACTTAATTAAATGTAAAATACTCTTCATATTATAAGCACAAAGCAATAGAAAACTACTTTGAGATGCAACTGACAGAAAAATAAATTACATTTTATTTGACTCTTGTTTCCTCCCCTCTCATCTATGCCACCCTGAGTAACTGCCCCAAAAAACAACCAAGAACCACTTCCTTATATGGAAATTACCTGCAGAAAATGTTTTACAGGTGATATTAAGCAGTGTGTTCTCCCTCCTGCTAAATGTATTTTTACATCTAAACAAATGAAAATTCATATAAAAAGCATAATAAATTTATATATTAGTAATATATTATTTTTACACTATTTGTCCTTGGCTGGAGTGGAAGGTACTTATTTGCATCCTTAACATTGTATGCATTTTTTTATGCTCTTTTGGTGAGGAGCAGCACAGAGTCATCACTCAGGAAAGCGCTGCAGTTCTGAGGAGCCGCCGGTGGTTGAATGCTGCATTTGAACTCTGGCATTTCTTTCAAGTGTGAGAGGCTGTCTAAATCCTGTCCAAAAACTTTGTGCTTCGACAGATCAGCAGAGAAAGAGAAACATACAGTATGAAGCATCGAAGCCCTGCCCCGCTCGCAAGACTTTTTTAAAAATAGAAGAGCTACCGTACCTGACAGGGAATGGAAGAGGTGGGATGCAAGCACATACAGAAATGTCTCACAAGCAGGGAGGTTTAAAAATAAACAGCAATTCCCAGTCACTAGGGGGAGAGAGAGAGAGCATGAAGGGGAAGTTGGTTTTTTACACTTTCCAGAGTCAGACACCCATTTGTTAGACTTCTAATAAAGTGACTCACCTTTTTCTGCCTTGTTTTTCCTAAAATATATATTTGCTTCTTTAAAAGATGTAGAGGCAGATGTTGGGTCAGAACCTGTGATCTGGACCTCATTCGACATTGAGATGCTGCTGCCCAAGCGGTGAAGCATCTCAAAGCGATGACATAAGTCTTTCTGAGCGCCTGCGCTATCTAAAGCATTCACTTAGCATGTCAGGGCTCATTTGCTTTGCCATATGTTCCGATGGATTAATACACCCACAGCACTGTGACCTCCTCTCAAAAGTATCTCATTTAATACCAACTACTTTTATCACATAAAGCATTTTTAGAGTCATAATATCTCTTTAGAAAATGGCAAGTGGCATAAAAGAGCGTGATACATTAGAGAAATTTATTACTCCCAGGATAAACCCTCAGAGATATATCATCTCATTTTCGAAGGAGACCCGCAACTGCCAGAGGTGAATGGAGAAAAAAAGACATTAGAGCCCAAGACTAAAATTAGAGGGAGAAATATGGTGCTAATGAGATGAGTCCTAATCTGCTCAAAAGCTACCCTGTAAGATTTGACATGAAATCAATTACTATTTTTGAAAATATGTTTGCATATGCTTTCACTTAAGGATTATTTTAATCATATATGCCCACTAGAAGTAGATTAAGAATTATATGTGGCCATCAACACATTTCTAGCGTTTGGCTGAATATTTGACCTCCATTCAGCCATTATTTTCATTAAAATGAAAATAATGCTTCATTTTAATGAAGCATTAAAATGTTTGGCTTCATGGCAGATGAAGTGAATCTATCGTATTGACCTTTGTATTTCAGCTTCCCAGGCTGCATTTTCTTTCTTTCTGTCTTGACAAAATAAAAAAAAAAAAAAAAACACATTTTCCATGAAAATTTTGACGTTTCATTCCACAGAATAACATGTGAACAGGTGAATCCAGGAATATTTAACTGCATCCAGAAATGTTCAACAGGACTCGTACTATCAGTCTGTTTGACCCATTCCAAAACAACTAAGATGCATGTTTTGGGCTCATTCTCCAGTTCACACCTGATTATCCAGTAAACTCCATCCGATTGGGGACCAACATTTGCAGCTGCTGCAGTTCTCTTTCAGACCAAATCATTTAAAAACCCTGTTCCCCTCCTCTCCTGTGGGGGCGCTGCACCAAGAACCACTGAAGGAAATGACATGAAAAGCTCTGCAGAAGTCACTGGGTTCAACTTCCTTCTTCATGAAATGTAAACAAAAATTTATTTTTTGGCAACCAGGAAATACGCAAAAGAACCGGAACATCCAGAACCTACAACTTCAGGATCAAAATTTACTCTGTTCTAATGATCTTTGCTCTTTGTTGTTTGCAGACTGGAAGAAATATTAGTTTGTTGAGGGCAACAAAAAGCATCTGAGACTTGCTGGAAAACTTTTGTTCAAATGTTTTAGCAGATGAATGTTTATATTTGAGCCTGAATGTCTAATAAGTGGATTAATGTAAATTCCTCATGACTGCAAAATGTTGCAACCATGGTATATATTTTGCAAACATTTAGGTTTTATATTGTATAATCAGTTCAAACAGAAAACTATCAATTTAAATGAATCATTAAACCCCCAAATTTAAGTAGATTATCTTCAGAAGTGTGATTGTCCTTCCAACTGGAACAGGAGCTCTTGAAATGACTATCAGTCAGTACTGAACTTCAGTTCTGCTTTACAGCAAAAACAGACGTGAAATCCTCCATCAGTCTTTATGTCAGCTCTCAGAACATGGTCAGGACTTTCTGCTTCGTAAAAGTCTGCCCATTAAGAAAGTATCTTCTCACTTGTGTATGTGGCCTTGGTCTGGCATGACCCCATCTCCTTAGGGTGTGTGCACAGTTAAAATCTTGCAGATCAATCATGTCCAAACACATTAATAAAATTAATATCCTGCTTTCCCCACAGGCATGGCCGCAGAAGGCGAGGACATGATATTAGTTCACTTTTGGCGCTTAAAGCTTCCAGCTTGATGACAGTGGGTGGGTAATGTGCATTTATGAGAGTTGCATGGAAAGAGAATAAAACAAGAGCCTCAACAAAGTCTCATTAGTGTTTCAGGGGCCAAGATACACCTACTCTTAGAATAATGGCAAGCATCAACAAAAGGGTCACTAATAGAAGTATGAATAAAGGAAACGAACCTGAGCCTGATTATGTGACTGTTTTGCCACAATAATCAGAATTAAACCTGTCATTACTCAGATTCAGACTCAGTGAACTCCCTCCGACTGCTTTTGTTTGCAGCTTTAAACATAAAAAAAACATTCTGCTTAACGACTTACAAACTATTTCATTTACTTAGATTATATGCCTTAGCTACAAGAGCCTGTAGTACAAGTACACTTCTATATGACGGCTTATTATAGCCAAAAACAAAACAAGAAAAGGAGTACATTTCCACCAATTAACTCAGAAATGTTGAAATTTTATAGAGAAAAAAAGGTGGAAATTTCGGTTCCATACAGGTAAAAAAATATGCTACTAAAAAATAAATATATTTGAGGTTAATGTCAGAAATTTTCTAGAGAAAGCTTGAAAATTTCTGAGTTTGAAAAGTGAAAAAGGCTGGACTTTTTCAGCTTTTGATACTCAGAAATGTCCACGTTTTGTTTAAAATAAAATTTTAGACAATCTAAAATTTTAGACAAAATTTAAATTTTTCTCACAAATTTCAAACTTTTGAAATTAAATTTTAAAAAAGTTTCTTTTCTGATTAATCTAAACATTTTGGAGTTTTTTCTCACAGATTTTGCCTTTTCAAACCCAGAAATGTCCACATTTCTTCTGGAACATTTCTGAGATTAATCTAAAAATTTCTGAGTTTTTGGTTGAAATTCTGTACTACTTTGAATCACTGCAATTCTTTGCGATGATTCAAAGCCTTAATATGCTTTGAATCATTGCAAAGAATTACCTTTTTCTCCTAAAATGTGCTGTTTCTGTGGTAAAACACACATATTGAGGAGTCTGCCGCCCACACAGGAAGCTACACAGCAAAACCTTCCCTAATGTAAGCTTTTACCTGCCGACGCTGTTGCTCGCGGTCTGACTCGGCTAACATAAGACCCTCGCTCGCTGATACCTTCCTGCTCTGTTCTCTGTGTGTCCCTTTGGCAGGATGCAGCAGACCCCTGTGGTGAGTTTAAATGCCATTTGTTGTCAGAGGTATTGAGATTCGGAAGAATAAAGAACGGCAAAGGAATGCCACGTTTGCATAATGCAAAAGCCCCAAACAATTTGTGTGATATGGCGAAGGAAATAAAATGTAAATGTCAGTGAGTGAAGAGTTTTGTAAGCAATGCTTTTGTGTGAGGATGAGACGGGTTTCCTTCTTGATATTAATTCTTTTATCTGCTGGAAATGCTTCCTGGATTTGGGCTGCAGTTTGGTATCAGAGTTGTGGCATTATTTCCAAAAACTTATAGAAATATTAATGTTTCCAAGGAAATGCACAAAATATTACCAAGTGTATTTGGTCTAGTTTCTAGTGCAAATATCTTGGTGTACTTCAAATAAGACAAAACTAACTCAGTGAAATAATCTGCTAATGGAACAAAACAGCTTTGTTCTACTCACACATTACTCCACTTTAAACTAGAACGTTTTCATCAATATTAAGGAATTATTCACTGGATACTGGTAAATTAGTTTTGTATTAGTTCAAGTGTAGTAAGATATTTTCACCAGAACGAGACAAAAATACTTTTTATGATTTTGTTTTTTCCAGTAATTGAACAGTTAAAGTAGTTTTGACAATTTAAATGGTTCCCAATTTATATGGCTTCTCTTTGTTGTGTAGAGATGGAAAACCAACCATGATCCAGAAACAAATATGTATCTTATGTGTTTAAAACTAAGTGAAAAAAAATATTTGATCACCAGAAAAACAAGACTTTGGCAAAGACACCTTTGCTAGCAGGAAACTTCCTGTATTTGTCAGCAGTGTTGACACTTCAGGACAGATTTTAGGCCACTTTTCTTTATAAAAAGTCTCATTTTCAGGTTTTCTGGATGCTGCGTGGCAGCTCAAAGCTTCAGACTCTTCTACAGATTTCTTAAAGATTGGGAATTTGAAGATGGGATAAACTGGTCTACGACTTGAATGTCTTTTTTTATACAGTGCCATTTCACACTGAACATCGTCTTGAGAACCTTTAGCAAATTACTTTAATTCAGTCACTAAAACATTCCAGTTGATCCTGTATATCAAACAGTGCATTAATATCAGTTTATTATTGAAATGTGTTTAAAAGTTTCTTTTTAGATTGCATTGAATCATTGACTAGCAGCATTCACTCCTTCTGGACATATCGACAGTAGGAACTGTGCATTGTGTTGTTGCCTTTGCATGGAAAGGAAAAAGTCCCCTTTAACAGGAAGAAACCTCCAGCAGAACCAGAGTCTGGCTCAGTACAGGCGGCCATCTGCCAGGCTGAGCAGATTCACAAAGAAACAGAAAAACTGATACAGGAGTTAATAAAAAGTAATAAGTTAATGGAAGGAGAAGAGAACGTTTAGTTGGCAGCGTTATTTCAGCCGATGCTTCCCTGCAGTAAGGCAGCAGAGCCAAACAGAACGGCAGATCAGATGCAGCTTCTATAGAGACAGAGAGAAAAAACAGAGGAAACATAAAGCTGGCTGCTGCTTTATTGCCTTAGTGCTGTGTGGTCTCTTTGTCATACTGGGAGATTCCTTTATGACCAGTCCTATGAATCCTGGCTGAAAGAAGGAAGTTCTCCTCCAAGTTTTAACTCATTTGAACACTCAGCAGACAAACAGTCTCAATTCATAATGTTTCCAGCTCTCTGCTTGACAGTGGAGGTGATATTTTTTAAAGAGCTCAACTTTTCATGATTGCTACAGGATGGAAGATCCTGCCATCCAGATCAAGGTCGACTGATGCTTCTATCTCCCAGCACTTTCTCTAACAGTTAACTTCTTATCAGACTTTCTGCTGACAGTATTCTAGTCCAGGACGTTTCCATATCTTCGACCCCAAAGAGCATTAATCTCTGGCTGTGCAAACACAGGAAATATTATAAAACATGTAAAGAAACGCCAACCTTTAAAATGTTTTTTATTCACCTTTCAGTAATTATTACATTCATTTAGCATAAATGCTGCCTCATAACTTCTGACTTCATATGGCCATGAATTCAGTATCTGAAAATCTTAGATTTTATTGACAGATTTTTTCATTTTTCATTATAGTCCTCTCTATATGTAATATTTTATGCTTATCGCCTCAAGTTTTTTGTTATTTCATAACTCTCCTTTGGTCTTTTTTTAATCAGAAACTTTTCCACTTCTTGTTTGCTATGCTAGCTTTAGGAGCTAAGCGGCTTGGGGAATTTGACTGGCAGCCAATTAGAAAATGAGCATAAGAAATAATGTTTAAATCAAATATTTTGACTTATATTTTATATTTAAGAATGACTGAAAAACAAACTGAAATAGTGATTTTTTTATGGGATTCATTTTTTTTTAATTTTCCCCACAGTGCCCCCTTGTGGCCCTCCAGGGCGCTGCAGCCTAAACCTTGTAAATCACTGTCCTAGTCCATTCCATATTTGGGTGTTTTTTTTACCTCAAGATGCAAATATTTCAACGTTTTTCTTGATCTTTCTTTCTTTATGCACACAGACTACACTTGGTTAATTATGAGTAGATTAGGTGTCCTACAAAATTGAACTCTAAATGATATAAATCAGCGCCAACTTTTGTCCTGGCATAAAGTATCGTTCATTTCCTTTCTTCATTTTAACATCCAGACTTCAAACTTCCCTATTAAAGACTCTCTCTTTCACATCTTTTCATGCAAATTTCAGGCTGGAGGATCAAAAACATAGGTTTCTCATTAAAATCCGTACCTTCTTTGCCAACAAAATACTTTAAAGGAGTTATGACAAACCCGGCTTTTGTCTGTTGTTTTAATCAGGTATAAAGCACATATTTCAACTGATTGCAGAAGTAAGAGACGAAAGCACTTCAGTCTGTCTTTGTGCCTTTCGGGCTCTTTCTGATGTAAGTGTCTAAAATGCTCTTTGGGGGGGTTATGCAAATTCACATTTTTTTTCTTCTTCTTCTTACGTATCAGACAGAGAGGTGTTCGTTACCCGGTTACATTTTTAGAACATGCCCCGGCACACGAGCGCACAAAAGGTGCGTGATCCTTTGATCCGCAAAAATATGCAGCGAAGTGAGTAATTGATTCGTGGCTTAGTGCGAGAGACGCCTCGGTCTAAACCGAGAACCTCGCGTTCTCGTCATCACAATGATACATCATGTTTAGTGACCTTCTCATTGACACTAATGGAGCAGCAGAAAGAGACAGTGTGCAGTTCTGATGCAAATGAAGACATTTATTTGTTTACATCGTGTATACCCCTGACACACGGCGTGGAAGGATTTTTTTCTCCCATTGTTTCACTCCCAACGTTTGATATACTTCCATTTAAAACAATAAGACATTGTGGTGTATTCCCTACCCTGGGTGGGATTGCGAGCCCATTTAATTGACCACATCCCCCACAGAGGAATGCACCGAACATGTGCTATAAGCCATAGGGGAATGTGATATTTGCAGGACACAGAGCCAGGGAGGGAAAATGAGCGATTCCTTGGAAAGGTGTGAGTAGCAGGTAGCTGAAGATGAAGCCTTTGTGTTCCCAGAATACTGACCCACCCACATGCTTGTCTTATTTCAGAGTGCAGGAATATCCCCTGAGATAGGTGCGCAAATGTGTGCAGAGGATCCCTGTTCGCTCTCCTTTGACTCACTTCCCTCACACACATATTGATGAGGTAGAAAAAAGAAGAAGAAGAAGAAGGAGAAGAAGAAGGGCTCAACGGGAGAGAAACGAAAGCCACATTGTGCACAGAGCGGAGTTTGGCAGACCCCAAATTAGAGACTCAGGAAGGTTGGTTATGATAAGAGGATCAGGCTGAGTAATGGGTTCAAAGGATGATCATCTGCTTCCCAGTCTGCCAATACAAGGGGATGGATGGTGGAGTGGAGGGGGGGAAGAGCAGCATGGAGGCATTGAAGGGGTTTGCACATCCCATCTGCAAAACACAAGATTATGGGAGACAATAGGTAAATCCTGCGGAGAATTCCCAGGAAAGCGTGCAGACAAATGTGAGCGCACAAACCGACGCACTGAACATGAAAACGCATGCTCAAGGACACGGCTGCATTATAAGGCAACACACACAGATGGGAAGCAGTTGTTGCACACAGAGATTCAGACGGATAACCTTGGGTTGTGGAGGTAAAGATGAAATGATTGTCCATTTGCATGCTTGCTGATTTTCTCTTAGGAATGACAAAGAAACGTACACTGCAAAAACACAAAATGTTACAGAGTATTTTTGTCTAGTTTCCAGTTAAAATATATTAGTACACTTTAAACAAAAAAAAAACATTGCAAGTAAACTTTGGGCAACAAATATGAGCTTGTTCTAAGCAAATAATTCCTTAATATTGATGAAAAAGTCCAGTGATTATTTCACTTCCAACATGGGGAAAATGTCTTTTTATAAGGGAAATAATATGCCAGAGGAACTAGGAACTAATCAAGATTAAGGAATTATTGACTTAAAATAATTGCTAAGAAGTTACTTTCAAGTTAATTTTGTCTTATTTCAAGTGTACTAAGAAATCTGCAGTAGAAACTAGTCCAGAAATACTTGGTAAGACTTTATTTTTTCTGCAGCGGAGTTGAAATATTGTGAGCGCTAAAGTAGCAGTGCTGTTTAATGACAGCTTGTGTGGCATAACATTTGCTCGCTCCTACTCAGAGAATCCATTTTTCAAACATGACTATATCCTCGCTGTGCAAACTGAAAGCCCCCACTGGCCACAATACACTGAGTAAAGAGCATTTGCAGCAGACCTGTGGCGACACTTCCAAATCATCTGGCCGCGGAGTCTTATGGAGGGTCCATAAAAACTGTTGGACGGAGTTGCAGATGATTTGTAAACTGCAAACTTCTTAATACTCGACCCAACCACAAGCTAGGAAAATAAGGGAACGCAAATAAAATTGATGCATATAGTGATATCAGTTTGAAAGAATAATTTGTTCTTTACCATTTTCTAAAAATATTCAGATTTTACTTTCATGTGTACAAGAACTCAGATTCCACAATGTCAATATGCAAGAAAGGTCGCGCGCTCTGTTGACGGTTAGCATGCCGAGTTAAAGTACAAGCAATTATTTTAGCAATTATAAAAGTTGCGTTGTATTGTCATTGGTTAATTCTTCATGAAAAAGCTAAATATTTTGCAGATTCTTTCATTACTATTAAAATGGTATGACTTTTCTTCTTAAGTAACAAACTTCTGTGGCATGGAAAGAAAACAGGCCACTGCAAGTAGAGTCCACATAACGTAACTTTTACAGCCTGCAACCAGTTTAACTATTGAAACGTTTTTGTTTTTCCAATATTTTCCGTCTCTATCGACTGTTCCCTGTAGTTTCATAATGTACAAGTCACCCAGAGGATGTTTACAAAAGAACGACAAAGTTTGTCTCGCGCTGCTGTCACTAAAGTTTGAAAACACAGTTTGCTTTAAGAAAACTTAAACTTTTTAAAATTCATTTTTTTCCTTCTTCCGCTTTGGTCCCACTAGATCTCAGAGTGGAACATTTCTTTCAGTGAGATTTCAGTGGGGATCCTGTAATCCTAGACCAAACACTTTTACTTTTACCTTTTCTCACATCTGCCAGAAGAGGCTGAGCTAAACTCATTACTCTTTTTTTAATCTTAATTATTCCTTTTATTTTCAGGGTCAGAATTTGTATTTCTAAGCTCCCTCGAGTGAACAAAAGTGTCAATGAGACATTCCTCCACTCGATGATGCACTGACACATTTACAGCTTCATAAATACTTGTACTACCGTTGTCACGAATCTGCTGACTGCTCACTGTAAATAAAATGTGGATATGGAGAGAAATGTGAAGCAGTGAATAAAGACATCAGTTTTGACACAAGCTTGCAGGATGGAGGGAAAATACTGGAAACGTTGTCAGTCTGTGTCTGGTAAGTTTCATAAATTTAGGTATTGGAAGTGGAGTAAAACTTATTAAAACTGGATATTTTTAATAAATCAAACAGGGTATCTGAAAGTCAGATGCAGGACGTAAGACCAGCTTAGTAAGAAATGTTGTACTCTGTAGTTTGATACTTTATTGTATAAAACATGGTCTAAGAATAGAGCCTTGAGGAACTCCATGTGAGGCCTTTGGGCACTCATGTCAACAACTGCTAAATGAAGCAAAGTAATCCTGATCATTCAAGTCTTTCTTAATAAAAAAGCAATAAAACTGTTGGTAAACTTCTTTCTTTATGATTTTTGGCACACTCACATCACATATATGGGTTTTTGGAGAATTTAGTGAAATATTAATCCAGTGTGAAGAAATGCTAAAGTGAGTCTTAATCAGAAGTTAGATGAGAAAACAGACTTCCTTTCTCCTTTTATCGCCCCTGTCATTAATCACAGACTTAATTACACTAAAGCTATAAAATGACTGCTGTTTAATATCGCAATCAGACTTCTTATTAGTTGACTGTTGGAGCAATAAATATTTTTATGCTTTGTTGCCTTCCAAATTTATTGAGATGCTACCATGCTGTTTGGAAAATAAAAAAAGACTAAATCCAGTCCCGACTCTACTGAACAACAACTACTCACTCTGGTTTGCTGGTTGAATACTGCAGCCACATGGCATGAGATCAACCGTGTCTTGCTCAAAGACAAGAGCTGAAACCAACCTATTGATTGTAGGGCTGAATGTTCCAGTGGGGGGTGGAATGAGTTATTTTTGTCTCCATGTGGCAGGGACTGAAACGGAGGAGGAAAGGAGGAAACAATACCTCGGAACAGCAGGAGATTCAGGTGCCAAGCACAGCAGAGTAACACCTCACCAAGCAACCAAGCGGGGTGCAACGCGTCTGTTTATGCATGTGCTACGCCTGAGTCAAGTAGGGAACAAACTGTAGACGGAGAGTGACAAAGACGGCCGGAGAGGTGCTTGGAGTCGATGAAGTGTCCGCTCTCTGGTGGCTTTGAGGCGTGGGTGTAATAGATTAAGCTAGTGTCTCGGGGCTCATCCCAGGGCTAACCCTGTCCTATTAAGAGTGGCAGCGCAAGTCTTTTGCAGTCACTCTACTCCACTGCAGTGTGGACAGAGCTGCTGGCAAGCCACTCAAATGGCACTCCACTGTTGGGAGCAACCGAGAGGATGGAGATGCTCGGAGGCAGCCAAGGACACAAACCGATGTGACTGATGGCAGCACAATAAAGTGAGCATCTCTTCTCCACAGTGTTAAGACCCCCCGGTATTCAGAGGGACATGAAATGGCTCTCTGGGGCATGTAAGCTTTGCTTAGTGAAAGAGAAGCTGTTTTTTGCTCCGCGTTTGCTCGTCCGCCGATGGCAAAATATCGGTCAGTGGTCTTTAGTATTCTGCAATGTTCAGGTGAAATTATCAGTCACTGACCCCATGACATCACACAGCGCCTTGCAAAAGACACTCAGACCACTTGGGGTTTTCCACATTTTGCTGTAGTACAATCACATTTCAAAACATTTATTTTCTTGATTTTATGAGATACAGTGTACTTTGGGTACAGTGTACACTGCAAAAGCACAAAATCTAACCAAGAATGTTGGTCTAGTTTCGAGTACAAATATCTTAGTATACTTGAAATAAGACAAAATAACTTACAAGTAAGCAAGATTGTTTAAAGTCAATAATTTTTGATGAAAAAGCACATGTTCCGTTGACATTTTACTTCTTTTATATTTTATAACAAGACATAAAATATCTTGTTACAGGTGAATTAATCTGTCAGTAGAACTAGTACTTTTTCATCAATTTAAGTTTATATAGCTCCTAGATCTGAAAGTTTACTTGTAAGTCAGCACACTTGAAAATAAGATAAAACTAATATTTGCACTAGAAATTAGACAAAAATACATGGTTAGATTTTGTGATTTTTAGTGACTGTAATAATTGTAAGTTGGATTGAAATGAAGGCAGAATTTTCCCATTTTTTTTACCAATATAAATGTGTTGGATATCTACATTTAGTCACATTTACTCTGGATGTATTTCCAGTGCAACCGACTGCCTTCAGAATGTAACAAGTTACAAAATAAATCTCCACATATGTGTAATTTATTCAGAGCATAAATCCAGCTGCTCTGTGAAGGCCTCAGTGGTTTGATATGCAACATTTATGAATGAACATCATGACGAACATCAAGAAACGCACAAAACAAACTCAACTTGGAATACAACCTCAGGAATAAAACAGTGAAAAACTTAGTTAGGTCAGAGGACAATCAAATCAACGCCTAAGTAAATACACGTTGCAATTAACACACTGTGGTGAAATACGGTGGTGGCAGCATCATTTTGTTTTGAAGCTGCAGTTCATCCTGTAAACATCGTCGTTTTGAGCGCGATTAGCTGAGAGTAACCAAAATGAAGAGCAGTGTTTTCCAGTGAGGAGTGTCGATGCTGAACGTGGGATCAAAGAGCTTGAAATTCGGAGAAAATTAAACACCCCAACATCGCCTTTAATGCTGCCATTTGGAGTTATATTTTGGCTCACGCAGCTGCAATTAGGAGTCTGTGATATTTTTGGCGTGTTTGAATTTGCTTTGAGTTTCTCTCAGCGGATAAATCAAGGGAGGGGGCGTTAATGATTCATAAGTGGTATTGTAAATATATAATACTCTGGTTAAATAGATTTAAGGTCGCACAGTGTATCATAGATTAAACATAATTCTGGAGCTTTTTCCAAGCCATTTAATCCCCATCCTCTTAGAGTAATGTATTTGCTAATGATGACAGAAAGCCGTCCTGGTAAGTCAGGTGAGAAATGTTTACACGCCTCTCTTTGGCATGAATGTCATGTTAGTTTTGAGGTTCAGACTTGTTTATATGGGCCGCTCAGTTCGAGTGACACGGATAATAACTCTCAAGCGACACACACAGAGAGTTAGTGTATCGCTAACTCTCATATGTAGTCAGTGGTACATATGAGAATGTTTTGTTGCAGAGCTCTGAGATTTTCTTGGTTTTCTTGGAGCGCTCCATGGGAAACCTTCAGCTCAAGTGCTCTTGGATTTTGCAGAAATTTGGCAATGATCTGAAGTATGTCAACAATTCCACCTATGAATGTTTCAAAACAAACAAAATGAAGGATTTGCAGGGGCCTAATCAAAGCCTGCATTTAAATTACTACTTTTTCTCATGGGACAATGTTGGTTTTATTTGCTTTTTCTACCCGAAACAAAGAAAAGTAGCATTTGAAAACTGCAAATTGTATTTTCTCTGGTAAAAGTCTGACGTTCTGGAAAAATTTTAAAAATCTGTTCAGTGGGTAGGTTTTTTTGTGTACAAAATATATTTATAGTTTTGACCTTGTCAGCTATCAGTAATGTGCACCTAATTGTTGTTTTAAACATCAATGCATGCTGTATGTTGTATAACCATTTCACTCTGAGGTTCAAAGAAATCATTACAAGTACAAATTAATATGGTGTTCATCCCGAGGATGAATCTCTGTAAACTTCTGACCGTATCTAAGGTTTGAGAAGATTATCGGATTCAGGAATTGTAATTCTAAACTGAGCACAGCGCCAAAGTGAGAAGCCATTAATTATGCATTTCATTCTGGTTCTTCATTCCCTGAAATAAACAGTAACCAGAGAAAAATCTGCAACCAAGATTTGAGAGAGCAAAGTGGGAGTAAAACTTGAGTTCTTGGACATTTATTCCAGGACGAACTGTCACTGTTTTGGGAGTCTAATTATGTAAGGACTGTTTTATTATGTTTGAAGTGTAATACTGTAGCGGTGAGAGTGTGATGCGTTGATTAGTCCCTTGTTCTAAATTAACTAAATCCCTCGGAACATGGCAGGTTCAATTGGAAGGGGGGAAAAAAGCAGCTTCATTCAGTGGCACTTCCAGTGCAATGAAGGTGCACATTTACATATCAAAGGCTGCAGCACCATGTCTGGAATTTCAAGTGTGTTCTGTTGTGATGTTGAAGAGCAGCAGCACTGACATGAGAGGAACTTGCTCTGTCCTCCTTACAAATTCCACTGTTGATACACTTCCTTGTTATGTCCACAGTAACACATGAAAGGTGCAGAGGAGCCCGGGTTGTAATGAGACGCTTCAAATGCTCAACTGCACACGCAGAAGGTGCATGCATTTTGTTTAAAGATAACACACGTGTGGATCGGTGTTAACAGATACTCAAATGGTGCTGGATTGGGAGTGAAGAAGTAGGTCATCTGCGAGGAATGGGGAAAACATGTTAAATCATTTCTGCAGTCTCTGAACAAATGGCCTTTTTCCCCTCCTTTTATCATTCTTCACTTCTTGGGAAATTTCCCCCATGGCCCAGCAGATCTGATTTGATTCCCTCTTAGTCAAGCGTTGACACATTAGCACGTCTTCTCATTAACTTAGACTTTGTCATTATCCCCTTCTGGTCCCATTTTATTCTAATTTAACAACAGATATACCAGACATATATGCACCATCATGCATCTCAGACACATTTAGAAGTCAGTGAGCCTCTTAGCATTAGCGTTTTGTTGCCAAAGCTGAGTATGTAAATCAGTCCATAGAATGTGTTTGGAGGCTAATTATGCAGCCAGTGAACCAGATCATCTCCATCTTCCCACAAGTGAAACCGTTTCTGTTTTGATCAAATCTACATGTGAAAAATATAACAAGAATATAGGAAGTCTACGATAAACTTCCTATGTTCATCAAAAAACATTTAAAATTTCAAGATTTAAAAGAAAATTATAAGTTTGATTAAGTTTGCCTTAATCAATATAATAAATTCAAAAATTTTATATGACAATCTTCTCTATTGTAGGTAAAAAGCCATCCATTGTTGTTCCACTTTTTAAATAATTTCTGATTAACCAAATTTTGGGATTCAATTTCACTACTTATGCTGAGGCCTGATTACTGCATAAATAAATCAGTCAGATAAAACCTGTCTGACAACATGAAGTAGGCAAAAAAAATCACTTTTTTTGATTGTTCCGAGGTTAGTGTGTTTTGTAAAACTGCAGAGGAAACACTTTTTTGCTTCACACGAGTCATGTGATCAACAGTTACTACTGGTGGAAACCACAAAGAAGACAACAGGAAGTGGTAGGAGGACGATGGAGCAGCATTTTTTTATTGACTTACCATATGAACAAATTTATTCACATGGGATTTTAGTTGTTTCTTATTTATGGGAAACACCGCAACTGTGATTTTTCAACATTAATGCAATATCGACAATGTTTCAACAAATGAAAACGCAGCTACATTTCTGTGATTCTGTAAAGAAGAGCGTGCCAAATTCCTCAGTTGACTAATTGTCAACCTTTAATGCTAACTGTTGCTGTGAAAGGAGAAACAAACCGGTCTAAAACTTGGGTGGTGATTACTTTTTCACATAAATCCATGTTGGTTTGAACAGTTCTCTGAAACATACTGTAAGGGTGACAAAAAAGCAAAAACAGAGTAAATTTCTAATTGGGACAATGCTTTATTTTCAGCACTTTATACACAAACGAATCTGTCAGCAGGAACTTCAGAACACCAGCTGTGTTTGTTCGAATATTTTAACACCATAAAACACACTGCAATATTGTCCTCTGGCAACTGGGCTTTACATGGAAATTAGAAGCTCATATTTCAGTCCTAACTGAGGTGATGCACCAGAGTTCCTGCGTCTCCCTGATGAGAAACATGCTAATGAGGCCTGGTGTTCACCTCCTGCTGTCCACAATCCCTTGCACCGCCCTGTCTTCTCCATCCTCCCTCCACCTGCGCACAGATTTCAGCTGAGCTAGGCAGGATCATCCCCCGGCGTCCGTTTTGACTCAGCATGATCTATGTATGATGCGCTTGTAACACAAAAACCCAGAGTGCATTGTCATACACATTCCAGCTGTAGTGGCTTTACCTTCTTTTCCAGGCTGTCTCGACGTAAGATTTGCATAATGAGAGGAATTTGATTACATATTTGTGCATTTATTGCAGTCTGACTCACTCCTTCAGAACGGCAAGCTGCTTTTAGATGCAGACTTCCAGGAAATCAAATGAACTGGCTCTGAATGCTGAGATAATAACTGCTAAGCAGTCTTATCCTACTTTGTTGGTGTAACTTGATTGTCACGATCGGCATTTCACTGCAACGAATGCTAAATTCAGTTTGTACACAGCGCTACTGGTTTGTCTCCTGTCTGTGTCGTCACTCCTTGGGAGATATTGAAGGGGACAGAATGAATTTCCTCCTAAAGGATCCTTTCTCTGGGCCCTGCCAGTTGCATTTGGTGTGCAATCAAACCAATCACAGCAGTTGATGGTCAGTGATTGCTTTCAGATTGGCTTGGCTTCACATAACTTTTTTTTCCCTCTAGTCGTTTTATGGACCCCTGCTGTGAATGTGAGGCGAGGTGGGACAGACAGAGGGTTAGAGACGCACCTGCTATCACGGTGGAATCACAGTTTCACAGCCTCGCTTCATTTCTCCTGATTGGCCTCTAATCAGATGGCTAATTCATGCACAGATAAGCCATCCCATTTATTCTGCATCACAAGGCGTACAGTAGCTTGCAAAGATATTCAAACCCCTTGAAAGTTTTCACTTTTGGAAACGTATCAGAGGGGCATCGGTGTGAATGGAGGAGTTCAAATTCCTTTGGCAGTTCTGACTTTTTACTTTTCAATTCTGAATTTTCTCTTGAATATTTTAAATATGCTTCACAAAAAATCTACAAATAGGCGAATCCAGGAAAACTGAACCACATATAGGGAAGGGGGGATGCACTGTAGTTGCACTGGAGTTTATTTGAAGGTATCAGCACACAAGCGGTTTAATAACTTTTTGGATTTTTATTTGGGAACCATTATTAAAACCTAGTTTTATTCTAGGATTGCATGTCACTGCAAAAACACAAACATTTACCAAGTATTTTCGGTCTAGTTTCTAATGCAAATATCTTAATACTCTTGACATAAAACAAAACTAACTTTTCAGCAAGATGTAGTAGTTTATTTTAAGTAAATAATTCTTTAATATTGATTAAAGTTCGACTGGCAGATTATTTAACATTTTCCCCATGTTTTAAGTGAAATATCCAGCCAGTGGAATTTGTATTTTTTAATCAATATTAAGAAATTGTTGACTGAAAACAAACTTTCATATTTTACTGAGCAGTTACCTGTAAGTTAGTTTTGTTTTATTTCAAATGTACTAAGATATTTGCACTAGAAACTGGATCAAAAATACTTGGTTGGATTTTGTGTTTTTGCAGTGCAAATCTTCTCACCTTTACTGCAACGCCTCTACTTCTGATTTTGAAGACATAAATACATAAATGTTTTTCTCATTTAGCAAACAGAAATCATTGTGATCATTCTAGCTAACCTAAAGCAAGAGAAGTTTGGTTTGATTTTGCTTCAGACTGAAAACAAAAAAAAAAGGTTTGTTTGGTGTATGTAAACTTCTGGCTTCAACTCTGCGGTTGTAACGTGATAAAATCAATTTGAGGAGAGTGCTGAACCTTCTTCTCCCTCTCCATCTAACAGTTGCTGTCTCTTTTCATACTCACATTTCGCAACACCATTACCAGTTGTTTTCACTCGCTGTCTTCCGAAACAAGAGAAGCCTGAGTCCTGGGGCAGGGAGATAGTATTGCTGCCATGGCGGACATGTTAGTCAATTTGAAGTACACCGAAAGGGAATGTCTCTCATGTGACTCCGGGCCAGCAGAGCATGACCAGCTGCTAGCTCGCCCAAGTATGGTCGGTCACACATGACGGGGCAGCAGACAGGCAGAGGCATGAGCGCGGGTTTCATTGCTGTCAGATGTGAGCACCTCAGCTGCAGACATATTGTGGAGGCAAATTCCTTCCCCCAGCTTTTGACTAATTGACCCTGAGTCGACGTGTCAGAAGCCTGAGGAGAAACAAGATATGAACTCGGTTTGGAGGCTTCTGAAAGTAAGGTGAGGAGTTTCTCAACCAAGTAACAGCGGCTTGACTTTTTATCGCTCTGAGAATGGAAATCTGACATTTAACGTTTTAGGTTGATGATTGATTGGTTGAAGATGAATGAATACTACGTTCAAGCTTTTTACAGCAATCTGACTTGCAAGCCTCCTCCTTTGACTTTATGCATCTAGAAATAGCTCAAGCTCAGCCAGGTTGGATGGAAATCACCATTAAACAAAAACAAAACATTTTTCATCTAGAGCAGTGTTTCTCAACCCTGGTCCTCACCGCCCCCCTGTCCTGCATGTTTTAGGTGTTTCCCTTCTGCTACACACCTGAATTGTATCTCTGGGTGATTAATGGGCTTCTGCAGTACTTGATGGTCATGCAATCATTTGAATCAGCTGTTCTGGAATAGAGGCACATCTAAAACATGCAGAGCAGGGGGGCGCTGAGGACGAGGGTGGAGAAACACTGATCTAGAGTCTAGTGCAAATATCTTAGTGCACTTGAAATAAGAAAAAACTAACCTACAAGCAACTTTTCAGAGAGATATAGGAGCTTGTTTCATGTCAGTATTTTTGAAAAAGTACTAGTTCCAGTGGCAGATTATTTCACCTACGATAAGATATTTTTTCCCCTGTTATAAAGTGGAACTAGTCTGCCGATGGAACTAGTATTTTTTTTATCAGTATTAATGACTTACTGACTTAAAACAAACTCTTATACATTTATAGAAAGTATTTTTGCCTTGTTTCAAGTGTACTAGAAACTAGACCAAAAATACACGGTATAGTTTTTGAGTCTGGCTACATATTCACAATTGGATTTAGGTTTGCACTTTGACTGGTCCACTCCTTTGATCTTTCCCATCCCATTGTAGCTTTGGTTACATTTAGCATCACCTACATTCCTAAAGTCTTTTGTCACCTCTTCTAGGTTTTCTCCCATAACTGCCTTGTGTTTTTCACCATCTGTCTTCCCATTATTTTTAACCAGCTTCCCTGTCACTGCGGAAGAAAAGCAGCCAATGTCGCTACAGCCATATTTCACAAGTGAGATGGTGTGTTCAGGGTGTTGTGCTGTATTAGTTTTGCATATGAGCAAAAAAAAGTTAATTTTTTTTGCTCATCCATCTTCTTCCACATGTTTCCTGTGTCTTCAACATCTTTAAATTAGGTTTAGTGTTCAGCGCCTCTGACCCAATGACCGCTGGTTCTGTGTAACTTTCCTCATCTTTCTTTTCAGCTTAAATCAGGGGTATCAAACTCATTTTCATTTTTGGCCACATCAAGATTAGAAATGTTCTTAAAGGGCCGATTGTCGCAGAATATATTTATATATAAATTTGAGTTTGCGATGTGATTTAGGCGAATGTCCGTGTTTTTGTAGGTTTGCGGTTGTGCCACACTGTCCGTTTTATGTTGAGCTTAAACTGCAGAATAATTAGATCACTGGCCTAGGTTTTTTTTAGAGGTACTGGAATAAAGTTGTGAATAAAAATGAGACTTTTCAGATTTTTGTTGCAAAGATTAACCATTTATCATCTGTCTTCCTACTTCAGATTTCTGCAAAACTTTGAGCTGGTTTATCACATAAAATTCTAATAAAATACATTAAAGTTTGTGGCCATAATGTGACAAAATGTGAAACAGATTAACTTGTGTGGATATCCTTGCAAATCGGGTTATTTGGCTTTTTAATGGTGTTAAAAGTTAACTGCAGTCAGAGGGCAAACTGCAGTCAGTTAAGACTCAGAAGGACTTGCAGCACCACTTGAAGAGCTCTTAACTCTCAGCAAGTGAACTTCACATTGAGAGGAAATTAGAATACAAGTGCTGACACACTTCACATGATTTGAAATTAGGCTTTTAAATGTACTCTGTTGATGCAACTTGAACGGTTCTGTTTTCTGTCTTCCTCTCTGTGTTTGCAGCCGCTGGACTATGAGACCAAGAAGGCGTACACCTTCAAGGTGGAAGCCTCCAACGCTCATTTGGATCCACGATTCCAGAGCTTTGGGGCTTTCAAAGACACAGCAACAGTGAAGATTAACGTGCTGGATGTGGATGAGCCCCCGGTGTTCAATAAGCCCTCCTATGTGATGGATGTGTACGAGGACACGCCCGCGGGCACCATCATTGGGGCGGTGACGGCACAGGATTTAGACGCCAGCAGCAGCCCAGTCAGGTAAAGTTAAAGCTTTCACAGTGTTTTAAGACAGGTTGATATCATTAATCATCTTCTTTATGTCAAAGTCCCCAAGAAAACCATTCAAAAAGTTAAAAGTTCACGTATTAAAGGTGCTGAAAGATTGGAAAAGACATAAGAATTCCAACTAAATGAAGCCATCTATGCATTTGATGCTATGAAGGTGCATTTGAAACTCATAATAAAAAACTTTCAGTTGGTTGTTTAAGTCACATGACTTGGACAGGAGTCATTAACATTAAGACATTAGACATGACTTGAATACGTGTTCAGATTTCTGACTTGTCTTGGAGTTTTACAGAATTGACTTGGGACTTGCACCTTTTTACTTGAAAAGGCTTGACCAAAATCAAGAGTTAATAAATATCTAGGTCAAATATCACACATTTAAGCAACAAGTTCAAAGCACTTTACATCATAAAAATATCATTGTTTCTTTTACATTTGACAAATGTCATCAAAATCATCAAGCAAACAAATGTATTGATAAATGTTTCACTAACTACTAATCTAAGGCAACTTTAAGAAGTAGGTTTTTAGCCCTGATTTATAGGAACTCAGTGTTTCAGCTCTTTTGCAGTTTTCTGGAAGTTTCTTCCAGATTTGTGGAGCATAGAAGCTGAATGCTGCTTCTCCATGTTTGGTTCTGGTTCTGGGGGTGCAGAGCAGACCAGAACCAGAAGACTTGAGAGGTCTGGAAGGTTGATGCAGCAACAGCAGATCTTTAAGCCGCCCAGTGATTTATACTCTCCTAGCTACAGGGAGCCAGTGGAAGAACTGGGGTGATGTGCTTTATCGTCCTGGTTTTAGTCAGAACACCGGCAGCAGCGTTCTGAATCAGCTGCAGTAGGACGATTGACTTTTTAGCCAGATCTATAAAGACACTGTTGCAGTAATCAATGCAACTAAAGATAAACGCATGGGTGAGTTTCTCTAGATCTTTCTGGAACATCAATCCTTTAATCCTGGAAATGTTCTTCAGGTGATAGAAGGCCGACTTTGTAACGGTCTTTATGTGACAGGTCAGAGTTCATCACTAAACCCAGATTTTGCACCAGATCTCTAGTTTCTAGCTGTAATAGCTGAAGCTGTGAAAGTTTTGGCACATCCACACATTTATCTGTTCTAAGCATCTGTTCAGTGCTTCGATGGGCTCAGAGTCACCAGGTGAAATTGTATTGAAACTGTGTATTATCTGTGTAGTTATGGTAACTAATCTTATTTCTTGTTGTAATACGACACAGAGGGAGCATAAAGACAAAAACATTGTAATGTAAAAAACTGGTAAAAAAAAATTACCCTGGGTTAATTTTCTCTTTTTAATTTGTCATTAAAGTTTTAGCATTCTTTCCACACAGAGAAGTAAAAATTTCCACTTTCTTTAAAACTTATTCAGCCTTTAGAAGCTTCACTGCAGGACCAAACCTCTTTTTCTATTCAGTGAGGATTAAAAACCAAAAGGGAGAACGACTGTGCCATTGCAGCCTGTGATTGAAGGTTTTAGATCTCTAATTCATTCATCAACGTCCGCAGTCTTCATTCATCAATGTCATCACGGCTTTAATCGTGAAAGTTTTGTCAGCTTTACTCATCAGTTTGAGAACTAATCAATCTATGTAGAACATTTGACTCTGTCTTGTAAAACCCTGCTAGCGTCATCTTCTGGCAGGTCAGCAATTGTCGGTGACACGGTGTGACACGGAGGGAATATTCAAGCTTTGTAAGTGGTCTCATTATAAATGCTTGCACCTGCACGCACAAAACAAGGTGTTTCAGCAAATAAGAGAGTGGATTACTGTGTTTGATCATTGGTTCAGAGAGTGGCTATGTCTTTCACATGCAGATGAGTTTTTTTTCCCTTGAAACCTTAAGATATTTCTCTTACAAACTCCCCCAGATATCACTTCTTCAGAAACCTTCCATCAAGGCCAAAGCTCTGTTTTGCAATTTTTAGGAAAGTCTTGAAGTTTTGCACTGAATTTAAATGAACGCTTTAATTATCTATGTTTAATAAAGTCTGGCCTGGTTCTTTCACTCAATCCAATCAAAAAGTATTTGTCTAATTTTATGCACAGCTGTAGAAAACAGTAAATGACAACATTAGAATCAGATAGACCTGATTAATCGATCAACGTTAGAATGATCACTCGTGTGGATGCAGAAGTTTTGGCAGCTTGCTTCTCTGCAGCATACTGCCGTGTATTAACACAATGCAACAATGGGAAGCTATCAGCAATGACCTTAGAGAAGCAATAAATGAAATTTCTCTCTTCACCTGTGATTGCCAGTAAACCATCAAGCAGCGCATATCAATTTAAGCAGATTCTGTTAACTTAAATTTAACATAAAAAAAATTAAGGAAAGCATTCAAAAACATATTTCCTCATCGTCTGTGAGCCATTATTAATTTTTTAATGGTTAGCATTTAAAGTTGCATTTTCCATTAGTAATAAAGATAATTGGCACGGCTAAAGTCAGAGTTTATTTTTATATTTCCTGGGGAATGTAGACCTTTACTCTGGAATTTGCAGAAGTCAGCCAACATTTCAAAATCCAACTTTCCTGTTATCTGCTGAAAAATTAAGAGCGTACATTTTGTTTCTTCAAATATTGTAGATTTGCTGAACAGAAAATCAGAAAATAGGCCAACTTTATGCTAATAATTTAGTTTTATTCCACATAAACATTTGCGAACAGGGAAATCCTTGAATACTGAACTACAAATAGGTATCCACTTTACGCCAAACTGTGAAGATTCTGATTTCATCCTTTTTTTTCCTACATTTTTTTAACAAAAAAAGTATGAGGTCTAATTTTTAACATAGCAAAATGCTTTTCCTCTTGAAGATAATCTATTTGGACACTGAACTCAGTTTTGTAGAACCAACATGCTTCATTAAACTCAAGTCACACTCTTTCCAAGTCATTCTCTATCCGTCTGTCTTGCTGCCTTCGTGAGCACTTATAGGACATCACTACCTCCTTTTTTTAAGCCGTAAAACATTCATCACTTCTGGATAACAATAGCCCATCCATTGCAGAGACAAAAGAAAGAGTGATTTAAAAAATGCATGAGGAACACTCTTTTATTACTCTACGCACCACTTTTACAGTGTTAAATTGCTTCAGGGTGATGGGTACTCAGTCTTAAATGGCTGAAAAAGAGGAAATACCTGTTGCATGATGAGCAGTTGTTTTACTATTAATATTTCATCACGAGGAAAACAATAGAACAGCGGAAGCGGAGATTTGTTCAACAAGAAAAAGCTAATGCCCTCTGCTCTGTGGATCTCCACTTTGTCTCCGGTCTTTAAATATTCATCAGTAGCACAGATGACATTGTTATTTTCTGCGTTCTTCAGAGAGCAGCCTTGCATTGTTGGCTTCAAAACAATAGGACTCCATATGCCCTGTCATGCATAGGGAATCATGCTTTTAGACTTCAAACCAAACCCATTCAGCTACTTAGCGCTAGAAGATTTTCTTCAGCTCGGAATGCAGAGTTGCATTGTTGGGTTATTCCTATAAAAGTTTAGGTTTTATATTGTCATTAATTGTGACAGTAATCCTAAGAATTACAAGACACCAACACTCCAGTCTGTAAAGATGTTTTCACACCTGACAGTCCAGCAGACTCTGTTGGATTGGGAACCAAAACTGCAACATTTGTCACACTTTCAGGTATTGCGGTTCACTTTCACACTCTACTGTGTCAAACAAACCAAATTCTTTGAAGAACCTGTTCATCCCCTCGCCTTTGATGGCGCTGCACCAAAAACTAACAAAGAGAACAACATATAAACCACTGAAGAAGACCCTGAATGCAACTTTCTTCTTCAGGAAATATAGGCAAACGCTGAGCGGCGCCAGATTTTAGTGGTTGTAAGATTTCTCTTTTGTTTTTGGTAAAGGACCACAAACCATTTCTCCTGCTGCCAGTAAACTCTCACGTTTGCCATGATTGTATTTACGAAGAATGCACTTCGCTTCCTGCTTTTGGAGCACTTGCTGGTCCGCTTCAATCTGTTCACTTCAATCGAACACAGACTGAGGTTTGTAGGCGGGTCAGAGTTCGGATCAGAGTTTGATTGCACATTGACACCTCCCCAAACAAATTGGACTTTCAACACAAACAGAGTTTAATTTAAGCAGACTAGACAAGAATGGAGGAATGGTATGAATGCAAACATCACCTGTAAACTCTAACACTCAGTGAGCGTGGAAAATATACAAAAAGCACACCTCTTCTTTACTGAAATTATGTTTTGCGTTTGGTTTGATGCTCATGTAGAGGGAAGGAACTTTACTGCTCTGCAAAGCAGAAGATAAGAGTAATTAATTTTCATATCTATAGCTGTCACTGCCATGGACTCAGGGCTAAGGAGACTCTTCAGATCTGTGATTTATTTTCTTTTTTTACAGCTGTTTATCAGTTCTGCTGAATTAACTCAGATCAACTACAACAAAAATAATTTATTTAATGTTTTCTGCCCAACAGGGATACTGTATTTTATTCCCTCTAGTTTGTCTTTCATTTTAAGACATGGTGAGTTCTTATTATGACATGGTGCAAACCAAATAAAACATATGTATTATCCAGTAATGCCTTCTGAAATAAAAAAATAGAAAAGAACCTCTTTGCCTTGAGGAAAAATTATAAACCATTGATCTTTTGAACTCTTGATGGGAGTTTGGCTGCAGTTTTCATCAAAGAGAGTCTCGCTAAACTGGTTGGACACATTCATGTTCACTTCAAGGCTGCAGGCAACGCAGAGAGACACGGCACCGACAAATCAAACCTGAAACACTCATGAAGTCGTTTGGTTACGTTTCTCATTACTGTAAAACACCAAATGAGGGTGAATGGGTATTTCTCTTAATGATAATTAAAAAAAAAAACTCTACAGCCATTCATATTATTTCCTATTAGGATGAAAAAGCTCACAACAGAAAAGAAAAAAAATCAGAGTATGTTGCCAAAGAGGCTAGCCCAGTCCAGGCTCAGCCTCATGAGAAATTACCAAGCTGTTTGTGGAAGTGCCTATGGGCAAGGCTTCAAATTCCCACCCTGTGAACTCTTTGTAAAGGGGAATAAAATATGACTTTCCCCTAATGGAATTCCATAGACGATTGTATGATTATTAATGAAAAAATGCAGTTTTTAACATCAAATAGCATAAAGTGATGAATGAGGCTGTCACTGGCCGGTGCTTTGGGTTCTGATCTCTTTTTTTTCTTTCTTTCCTTGAACTCCATAGTTTGCATTCAGAGCAGCCAACTAACACCAAAAACTTGCTCCGTAGAGAGAAGCATCCCTGCTCGTTTTGGACACCAATCCCAGTATTCTCCATGCTTTTGTTTTTCATCGGCAGAGGAAGAGATTGATACGCTTTCAACAGGCCCTAAAATGAATTTATGTTCCCAAGAAAAACATTAGCTCAGCATGGCCAAACGTGTGCTCCATTACTCGATTGGGATGCATGTGCAGTCCTCAGCACATTTGGTGGAAATGACCGTTCAGAATGAGTGATGAAGACTACGCCAACATCTCATTACACCCAACTCATATGAATACAGCAGGGGAAATAAGTACTGAACACGCCAATGTTTTTTCTCAGTAAATGTATATTTGACGGGGCCATTGACATGAAATCCACACCGGCTGCTGGTAACGGTCCGAGTCATCCACAAACACAGTGGCATGAAAACAAATATGTCCACGGACTAAGAAACACATACTTATTGAATTTTTTGTTTAGGCTATTAGATTGCATCTGGATTCTTACTGGATTATCGTTCAAAACAAAAAATGAAGGGAAAAAGTTTGCTTAAACTTATTGAAAATTGATTCAAAATACAAAATAAAAATTACATGCACATAGAAATTCACAGCTTTCATGGCACTTAAAAATAAGATCAGGTGATCAGAAAGATAAAGACAGGAAATCAATACAAGGAAACAGAAGTAAAGGCTCCAAACAACACAGGATATGACAAACATATTCTTCCACACAAATTATATTCAGATCTAGACGTTCCTGGGATTCTTTCTACGCCCTCTGAAGTTCAGATATTCCCACAGATTTTCCCTTTACTTACAATTGTAGTATAAAGTGCTTTGAAGTCCTTTGGATGACAGGTTCTTATACAGACACAAGCAATACACTATTTTACTGGAATACAATTCTAACAACTGATGAGAAGGTTGTCTTAGATTGATCTTCTTTGTCTAAAAATAACATTGTTTTCTTGAGATTCTGGTCTTGCTTTAACCATTTTTTTCATTTCAAATGCTTATCAAGAACGCTCACAATTTTCAATTAATTTAATACAAAACCAAAAATGGCTCCACTCTATAATAACTCCAAAACCCAGCAGTTGTACACAATGGTTTTGAATTTATGTTCTCTCCACTTCTGCATTATTTGACATTTTAGAGGTTTAGAAATATATTAATACCGATACCAACCAACAATAAAATTGAGAAAGATTTGAAAGAGCTTTCTTCCACTCCCATCATGAAAATGTATTTTTATAGGCTGTCAAAAATGTCTAAACCAGCTGTATTGGTTGAATTTGAAAAAAAATACAGCTTTCTAAACTAATAGATTTCAGCTGATTTCTTGGCTTTCTGTGACTTTTAGCTTATCTTCCCATGTTAAATACTTAGCTACTATAACTTCTCATTGTATGTGTGAATTCATTTGGTGGGACTTTTTGTAATCACTAATCCCTTTAATAAAATACATTTACTAGGGAAAAACAGTCATTATTCAGCAAACTACATTTTGCAGCTGAAATCTTGAATTCCTTTAAATTGAGGATTTGAATTTGTTTAGAGTTGCTTTAGATTAGAAGTAAATGATACACTGATCATAGTGTATATTGATAATGATAAAATGTAATGTTGGTGATTGTAGTTTGTATGATATAAAGCACTTTGAGCTGCCTTGTTGCTGAAATGTGCTCCACAAATAAATTTGAATTGTACTGAATAAGGAAAAATACCGAGATGTTCACTTCTTACGTTCCCTTCTGTACGAGTCCGGGGCAGAATCACTCCACTGCTAATTCTTCAGTTTACCCCATTAAACAAACATTTTCGTTCTTCCAGGTATTCCATCGACTGGAAGAGTGACTTGGACAGCTACTTTGACATCGATCCGGTGGAAGGAACTATTTCCACAAACGAGCTGCTTGACAGGGAGAACATCGCCCAGCACAATATCTCTGTTGTGGCAACCAAACTCAGTGAGTATGACAATGAGATCAGCTGTGATTCATGCAGGTGTCACTGACCTTCCTCCTCCATAATCTGTGTGAAGGATTTAACGCTCTTTTACTCAAGTCAATACTCAATCCCATTTTCCCAGAAAGGTTTATAGGTGGCCATAAACCACGATGGCTGGCTCTCCCATAGGGTTGTATCTTCAGGACATCGTCTCCTCTCGCATTGCTCGCCGCGACACTGCTTTCATTTTTAACTACCTTTTTTTTTTTCCCTGGATGGTATTTGGAGGATGTTTTTTCGACTTTTACTTACCCCACAGTAAAGTGTGAACCATCCCAAGTTTTACAGCAAGCAGATGCAAGACGGAACCGACGCTGCGGCTTTAAGACGTGCCATCAAGCTAATTATGTTTATTATGAAGGAACTAGAGCGAATTTCCGCATAAATAAGCAAATCCATCGTCATCAAGTCATCAAATCGGCTAAGAACCGTCAAAGTCATTATCCCAGAGGCAGGCTGGCGCTCAATCAAAATTACACCCGCTGTATATTCATTAGGACAGACTGTGAAATATGGCCTGTTAAAACTTGAATCATTGTCGCCTTGGAAACTGATATTACTCACTTCCCCTCAAGGTCACATCAGTGACATTCTAATTGTGTTCTCGGTGTGTGTGTTTGTGCTTTTTTGTGTGGTTTTATGCATTGAAATTAGGAGACGAGGTGGGCTAAAAGGATTTGGTGCGGATGGTGGAGGATCGGAAAGCAGATGGGACTTTTATAAGGTTGCTTGTTTTGGTCTGTCATTCCTGATGAAGGAATGAGGGAGGATTTCTGCTGATTTCGTCCCTTTCACAGCTGCTTTTTACGCCTGTCTTCTCGCCCCCATGGACTCTCCCTCTCCGGGGAAACAGTGCTGATTTTTCCTCATCAATTAAAAATAAAAAGTTTTAAAGTCAATGTTTAAAAGTAACTGCTGGGGATGAATGAAGCGATAAAGAAAGCAGCTCAGCATTTGTGTTCGCGCCTTGAGTTCAGTCTGACTTTGACCTTGAGTTAGTTTTGGCAGAACTTGCTGTTCGGGGTATTGAACAGCTTTTATGGCTCCTCTGTGCTGAGCTGTATTGTTATCACTGGAAGAGCGTCTGTCTATTATGTGGGTTTTAAACCATGAAGAGCAACAATAAGTGCTGCTGTGCAGATACCTTAAGTGTAAATACAAATAATGCGTTTACTGAGGAGAGGTCATGCTGTGTCTGAAATGTTTTACTCTCCCACAATAACATGTTCTTATTGAGGATTAAGTAATGCATGGAAGGCATGGACCTTCAAGGATATCTGTGCCATGTTTATCATTTGTATTCATAATCCGAATGCAAATGCTCATAATAAAAATATGATTTGACCCCTTAGACTTTTTGTTGTTGTATTCTCCTGTGTGAATATAGAACATGGTTTGCAGCTATAATTAAGCTTAGGAACAATTTCAATTTAATGTGGGTTTGGGCAATTATTTCTTTATTTGCCATATCTCTAAGGAAAATGCACTAATAAGATTTGAAAAGTTTGGCAAATACCTCTCTGCCAATGCCATGCAGCTTTTACTGGAAAAACAAGGCTTCTCATCAATGGGCGTAATGTCAATGCAAAGACATGTCGAGATGCATGGGCGTAGGTTTGGGTAGGGACGGCAGGGACATGTCCCGACCAATATTCACGGGATATGAAAAAGTCCCGACCAATTTTTGCCATATTGGCTCAAAGAACGTGGATCTACGACCTTTGATTAGCAGCAACAGGCGGCGCGCGGAACGGAAGCTTCTTAGTTTGACATTTATTATGAGCCTCCGAGACCGTGTCGGGGGGGGTGGGGGGAGGGGGAGTCAGTTGAATCGTCGGACGTTCTTTGATTAGCTGCAAAAGGCGGCGGCTAGCTGGGCACACGCGTCTCCTTCTGAGTCGCCATGTAGCCACCAAAAAAGAAAAGGACAGACATTAGAAGTTATTTCGCTACGCCGGCTGTAAGTACAGTGAGTGGACCCATAAGTGAGATATCTATCACGCAACGCATTTGTTGTAAAGTCCGGTGTTTAGTAAGGTCAGCACTGAATGTGAGGTAGAATAGGTCTGTTAATTATGTAATATTTTTTCACATAGGATGCTCAGACAGCAGAGCAAGGGGCAGAGCAGAACGATGGAGAGGTGGCTGGAGCTTCAGGGCTCCAGGTGAGGTGTTAGTTCTCAGATATGAAATATACTGTGAAATTATCTCAGTAAATATGGAATTTGATACAAACCAGGTTACGCTTTGTTTGCTCTATAGGAGGCAGTCAGGGGTTATTAAGCCAATGTGGTTTCCCCAAAAATGTTCGGTGCTCTTGGGCATTTCACTGTGCTGCCGGGGGGGGGGAGGGGTCAAGGTCCCCACCAAGGTCCCCACCAAAACTTAGACCGAACCTACGCCCTTGTCGAGATGTGAGCTCATTAGATTGACAACTAGTTTTCCAATTTAACATTTTAAAACAGCTAAATTGGGAGTTGTTTCCAGGTCTAATCCAGGTTCCCTTGACAAATTCAGAGATTCTTTATCCATCCTAACCACAAACTCCAACATGGCTGCCGTTCATATAAACATTAGAGGTTGCACCTTAAATCAGCAGACGTGGTTATAGTGCCCAAAAGCTGTACTTGAGTAAGTGTAGCAACTACTCCAACATGTTTTTACTGATGTAAAACTAAAAAGTAGTTATCCAAGAAATTACTCAAGTAAGAGGAAAAAAAGGTTTTTGTAAAAAGGAAGACCAAAATATGAATTTATGTAGAAATGTTGGTATTTTATTGGCCAAATTGGAAAAAAAAATTAAATAACATAATTACAAAATCAGACAAAAGAAAAAAAAAATCTAAATAAATTACTTTCAATATACTTTCAAAACATTACTCAAGTAAATGTTACCAGTTTCTATCAGTTGCCATTGACAGCTGGCCAACTTTTCCTCACAACTGTGATTCTATGACTCAATGCCTGACAGCACAAAAATTGTTGAGCCTTTTACTGGCATTGTCTTGTATTGCTAACTGTAATTAGCCTGCGTATTGAGCACAATAATTAACAAATCCCAATGGTTTTTCCCAACATGCAACTGGAACACAGTAAATTGGGAATGACGTCAATCCCAGATCCGGCTGTGATTATTGAGGTAAATAGAACGCGAGCCTGGAGCAGCCTGAGACGCCTCTGCATTGCTGTTTTTCCAAAAGCAGTAGTAGGTCATCGTAGACATTTGTTGTGATTCCTACCTGTATGCTTTATTTAACAGTCCAAAAACAATAGAAAAAGCACATTTTCAATATAGCTATCTCCAACACTGGAGAAAACCTTTCACTTTACAAACCTTGAAGAGTTTTTATCTGTCCGGTCAACCCCAAACGCTGCAGTCATGCATCAAAAAGACAGCAGTGTATGCTGTCCTATCCCGAGGCGCAGTCTGTGTTGCTTAGGGTGTGCTAAGGAAGAGCACGGACTGCAGTAACAGATTATTGTTTGCCAATTAAACCCAAATCCAATTTTTAGGGAGTGAAAAACAGTGGGAAGATCTATTAAATGCAGTAATAACCTTAGCTGGATGCAATTAGAGAGCGCTTTCAAACCCCTATTTAAGTCAAATGAAAATTTGTCTCATAGTTTTCATGAAGTTTTGAGTTGTGAGTTTGCGCAATGATTCTGTCAGCAGTTTCACTTTCTAAAGATTAAATTCCACATCTATCTGCACTTGATTGCTTGTAAAAATGTAGATTGTTCCATTTAAAGGAACCTAATTAAAACAAGTGAAGTTCAGCAACCAAGCAGTTTAAGTAGACGACTTTATCACTAATTTTTGAAGCATTTCCCGGCAATGCAGTGTTGTAACTCTCAATGTAATGAAAAGGAGCAGTGGGTTTGTTGGGTTGAAAAGCTGATGCAGCCAAGATTGGAATGTATGCACTGTGCTATTGCTCCCTCAAGTGGTCTCAACGATGTACTACTTTTATAAGTTTTGCAAGTCTTTCAAACGATAGAAGAAAATTTTGCTTTTCAGCACCTAAAAAGTGAGCAGCTTTAAAGCCCAATATTACAGACTTTATGACCCAAGAGAGCATAAAAATCATTTTGAAGGCAGATCCAGAGATTCTTTGCTGGATGAGCATAAATGTTAGTGTCTGGGTCAGCGGAGAGCAGCAAATCCCGTGCTCTTTGTCATAGCAGAGTTGGGAAGATTGCTTTTTCCATCAAGGTCAGAGTCAGGTTGACATCTGAGCCTGCTCCTCCAATCCCTTCAAGATGACTACACAACCCCATTCTCAAGCCCCGCCGCCACTGACACGCCGAACCCAGCCAACACACAATGCATACCTCCACACACACTAAGCCTCCCACTGCACAACAAAGCCCACTGCACATCAAATCCATAAAGTTTTCCACTTGCACAGAGGGAACATTTCCCTTTTGTGTCCCTGCTGGGAGGCAACGGTGTAGCAAACAAGCCTGAATTCCAGTTAGTCTCACTCAGGGGGGTTTTCAAACCGTAATTACAGTGGGCGGCGAGTTTTATTGCTCAAACCAGAGGGGGAAAAGTATTTAAAGAAATTCCAACAAACTTTTATAAACCTCCGCTTTTTTAGATGAGCGTAAAATTTCTAATTTGCAAAATAGGAGCATCTGGGCATTTTATGTATCAACATGTCCTGGACGCATTAGAAGTTATAAACGGGGTGATTTAGAGTGCATCTCTTCAAGGACGCTCTGACTGCATACTGGAGCGCTGCAGCCTCTTTAACCAGCCAGCCATCCCATTGCAACAGTGATAAAACCGCATGCTTGGCCGTGTCATAAAGCGGTAGTCCTGCAGACGTCCACTTGGTGTCAGTGCTGTGAAAAAGAAAAAAAAAAAGAAAATGTTTTTTTTGTTTTGTGCTCCGGTCTGCAGACAGCCCGGTTCTGACCAGCCGAGTGGCCGTCACGGTGCACGTCCTGGACATCAACGAGTTCCCGCCTGAACTGGCCAGTCCTTATGAGACCTTCGTTTGTGAAAACGCCAAAGTGGGACAGGTACGCTCATTACTAACCCCTCTGCTCATTTCAGGTTCTACCAATATGGAAGAAGATCAGGGCCACTGAAAAAAAATGGAATTCTGACTGTAAACTTTGACTTTAATGTCAGAAGAAGAGTTTTTTTTTATATAAGTAAAATATTAAAGATGGAAAATTACAAGACAAATTCTACAATCGTTAAGCAAAGATGAAGCAAAAAATGCAAATACTTTGTAAAACTTACATATTCAGCAGCTTGTAAAAACGCCTCAGTGATCAAGTCATGTCTGACATTATGAGTCTCATGTTTAGACATTTTACTCCACTGTTTTTTTAATTTTTTTATGACTTTTCAGTTTTTTTAGGTATGTATGGACGGACGGGGTTTTGCAAAGATCTGTTAAGGTGAAACCAAAACATTTTAGTCCAATTAAAATCCGGATTTGATTAAGCCATTACAACACCATGAGTGTGTTGTAATTTAAATGTTGTTAAAATTAGAATATTACATACTAATGTGGTATTTCTTGCCAGTTACTTTAGAAAGCAAAAATCTACAAAAATATCAAATTTTTTCTCCATCATATCTCTACACAGAGTTCAATTGGTATTGCTTAAATAGAACCTTGTTTCCTGAGATTCCTTTCTATGTAGAAGGTATCGAATTGCCCATTTTACAGAGTTCAATTTAGTAGCAGAAGCAATAATAAAGTGCAGCACCGTTCTGCATATAACCGCTACCCAGACTGCATTTCAAACTCTATATTTGGGATGCGGTGGGGAATTTGCCAGGGTGCATTGTAAACTACCTGTGCCTGTAAATTAGCCCATTAGCTGGAATCTATATGCAGTTAGCGTTGTGCTGGAGCAGCTTCTCTGGCAGTCCATCAAATCACCGCGGACCCCTCTCATCACGCTGGTCCTTAGGCCCGCTGCAATCAAAACAACGTACCCTTCATTTGAAGGCACCGCCATCTTTACCGACACAAGAATCTAACGTGTTTTCTTCCCTCATGATTGCATAGAAACAGCTCTGATGCTTGAAAAGAGAGTGTTGCTCTCCTTAACTATGAATTTATGAAAAGAAAGAAAAACACTCTGTTGGAAAACAGTTTGCTCCTCACAAATTCATGTATATCTTGCTCAGTGAGGTAGAGGTTTCCAACATAAAACTGGTCTCTGATGTATTTGTGTTTTTTAGTTTGCGTGAAAAAAAAAATCTGAACTAGTGAAATACCCTTTATAGAGAAGAAGATGAAGGTCATTGAAAATAATAATTCTGACTTTTTTCACAATGGCATATATGGACCATTGTCGTAGAAAAAAGAAGGAATTTTAGCAAAAAAAACCAAAAAACTCAAATTTCAGAAATTAAGAAAAATTTTTTAAAATGTTCAACTTTTTTTGGAACTCAGAAATGTCCTTGTTTTTTCTGGAAAATGTCTGGGATTAATCTCAAAATTTGAGTTTTTTGGCAGAAATTTGCTCATTTTTTCCTCATCTATAATGGCCCTGATACACCGTCATAGATTTTTGACTTTTTTTCTCAGAATCATTAAATTGTTTATGCACCATCAGTATTAAAACTCAGAAATTCCAAATTTGGGAAGGTTTTCTGAGTGGATAACGTGCAGGTCTATAAATTCTTTAAAACTGAAAAAACATGTATGTGATTATTCTTATAACAACATAACTGACATACACCTAAGAATGCTTTGTTGTTTATTTGGATTTTGACAGAGGGGCACAAAATTAAAACCCTTTAAAAATTTCACATACTTAATGCAGCTGGTTTACAGTATTCCCAATGGTTAGGCAGTTCAGCTCCACAGTAGAAGCATATTATCTCTTCTAGAGGTCACCCTGACCTCCACTGCTTTAATTTTAAAATTTATGCTACAGCTGATGTAACAGCTGGCTAAAAATGCTTTGCTGTCTTATTACAGTATGCCTCTGCTTTGTGAGCCTCAATTATAACTTTCAGAGTGCCTGGCATCTGGTTTAGGAGGCTGATGGCTGCTGATTGTTGGAGAAAAGTTTTGAGTCAAAGTCTTTATGGACCTTTGAAATTTGCAACACCTGGTCCGACTAGATGATGCCTCTGAACAAGCCATCACTCTGTAAATCTATAAACACAGAAATGTTATGGGAAATCCTGGATACTTGGGAAAATGAAAACTCTAGCTTGCTGATTAACAAAGGTCAGACTAAAAAGTTTCGCAGGGGCCCTTGGTATTTGCTTAGGGATCTCAACCCTGTTCAAACAGCTAAAATCACAAATACTTAAGAACTCCTACTTATGCCTATAACTGTCTATTTTACTAGGTCAACCCCCAAAATTACTTAAATATGGTCTACTGTACAAGCTAATATCTACAGGTTTCTTTATCACCAATCTTATCAGTGCCAAGGAAAATAAATTGGCTGCTTTGCAAACGCTGGCCAGTAGGATGTCCGTTAGCTTTGAGTTTACATATATATTTTAGATATACTCTTCATATGCACTTACATTACACAGAAAAATCTATATTTTCCCCATATTTCAGAGCTACATGTATGACAAGGTTGATGATCTGTAAACTATAAACATGTTGCATGTTACTGTTTTTGCAAATGTGCATAACGCTGGAGAGCAAAAAGACGATTCTTTTACATGCCAACCATAGCTACACTGTCACAGTAGAATAATTCAGTTAAAAAATAAACCTGAAGATGTAGGTATTATTAATTTAGTGCAGTGTGTCACGACAAAGTAAAAAATGCAGAAAAACCAGTGAAGAATAACTCAAAATCACTCATATTCTTTTATTCCTCACTCTCTATCTACTGAAGTGGTTTATTAGTTAATTTAAACGCCTGCTCTACTGACGTTCAGTCAGACAGTTTGCTTCTGGGTCACCTTTTTAACTGAACCAAAGCACTCTGCATTCTGCAGCACATCTACATGTCAAGGTTGTCAAAGTCAAGCTAGCATAACTGAACTACTTCCCTCTCCATTTTTTTAATTAAAACTTTTTCCTGACCTTGTCATCTAGTTGTGGCAGTGCTGACATTTAGTAGCAAAACACTGCGTCCCTTTTTCTTTAACATATCATTCATACATTTAAGATATAGAGAGTTATGTTGACAACTTGACAGCTAAAACAAATACTAGTCACTGTCAGCAAGCAGGATCTTATGATGTCACACTGCAACATTTTCATACATTCAAGATGTCTTCATAAAGTTCAGAAGGGTATATTAGATATCTGGTAGTTGTCTGTCCCAAATAATTATTTGAAAGCAAAACTTGTGCAGATCTCATGCAATCCTGCAGCAACACAGAGACCTAAATTAAAATTCATTTATTCCCTGTTTTTACCCCAATTTACTTTAACCTTCACTCCATCTCTCCATTTTATCCTTCTTCGTGTCTCCTTCCTCACCCCCTCCTACAGGATCCATGTTTTCCTGCAGCGTTTCCACAGCGTGATTTCACCAGGTGTTGCACACAGCTGGGGAACGATAAAAAATTGTTGATCTGCTTCTTGGAAAAAAAAAATCCATCGTATACCTCCCCCCGATGATTATCCGCACCGGCACAGCCGAAATACACACACAGCGCCTGTTTTGGAGTGCCTCACGCTGTGGCCCCTCTGATTGAAAATAATTTGTAACCATGATGAAACCAAGTACAGGAAATCAATATTTTTTTTCATGTAAATGTGTGCCTCGAAACAAGAAAAAGCCTGGAAATTTGAAGGTGAAAAGAATCAGAGTCGAGGTGGTTACATAAAGCAGGTCTCTTCCTTAATTTTACAAATAATGGTTCACGTAGTCAGTTGGTCAAGTGTGAAATGGGACAAAGCAGAAAGGAAACATAAAACAAGCCCCTCCCTTTTGGCTGTATTTAACAGACAGTTCTCTAATGTGTTTCTGCTCTTTAAGGTATTTGCTGTGCCGTATTGAAATGCTAAACCGGCGAATCAGCCCATTATGCAGGAGTAATTACACTGATATTTACACCATTTAGCGAGCATCCTTATCTTTCTTTGCCTCCAATGCAGCCGAGTGTGAAAGCAAAGTACATTTGAAGCTTTCACATATACAATGGAACGCAATAATGAAAAGCTGCAGCCGTGACAGCCACACTCATGATCACAGGTGGGGTGGGAAGTGTTTCTGAGAGAAGCAAAGGGGGAGTTTTCCATGACAAATTCTAATTAAAGAGCAAAAGCTTTGCTGTTTCGGCTGTTCCTGCCTGCAGTGTTAAGCAGCGTTAAGTGCATCCAAGATGTTTGCCAAATTACAAAGATGCATAAGAAACTTTTTTTTTAAAACCAAATACCACCTGCTGAAGTGTCTGGGAAAAAAAAGCAATTCCCTTGACTACCCAATCATTGCAAAACCATTTGCTTAACATCTGCTTAATCGCTACTGCAACATGCTTAAAAAAAAACAACAAAAAAAAAACACAAAAACACAGAAGCTGCCTTGAAGTTTACCATTTCTGGAACATCCTGGGTATTTTCCAAATATAAAACTTTGTTTTAAAAGGAGCGTGGCCTTCCAGAGCAATAAAATCTGCGAATAAGAAAAGTTATGCTTTTTAACCTCCGAAATTTGTGTATTGTGGCTGTAATCAAGACTAATGATAATCCTCAGAAATAATTATGGAAAACAGCAACAGCTGCACCTAGTGTGGTAAACTCAATCCTTCTAGACTATGAAGCAAGAAGTGACTTAACTCAGCTGAGACGTAAAGTAAGCAGCACAAAAAAAAAAACATTTTAAGAAAATAATATAAATGTTGTAAAGAGAGAACAAAAATAAAAGTAATGGCTGAAACTCTGTTCTGTTTCTGTTGTCCGACAAGCTAGGATTAGCAGTTAGCCTCAAAAGGAAAGCAGCATCGCTAGCTGCTACAGGAAGTTTGTTCTTGTCAGCAGTTACCTAAAAAATAAGAGTTGTTCAAGGAAATATTTCATTATATGCTACAAGAAAGCAACACAATTCTTGCTGTTTTAGTTATTGTTAGCACAGCAACGCAGCTAGCTGCATCAAGAAGTGAGAAAATTGACCATTTCAAGATTCTATCACCAATTACCTAAATTTAAATTTCTGGATTTGATTATTTTCTTAAGAAAATTACAAATTTAAAAGTCACACACTTATTCCTGTTTTATCTAGCGTTAACACTAAAGCAATCTGCAAAATTGTTAGATCAAACATTAAATGTTTTGAAATAATTAGAAAATATTCGACACAATCAGATATCATCACTAATATTTTATCTACTTCATATTTAGACTTCCCCAGTTCCATCAAATAAAAGTAATAAATAGTTGTTGTTTTTACTTAAAAATATTCTGCTGCAGCTGATCAGACTTCCACATGCTTAAGATTTTTTTATTAAATTGTTGTTGCAAAGACAAGAATATCATATTTTGCTCTTGTAAACCTCTGAAAAGTTTTTCATTTTGCTTATTTTACAACTGTGCACTTCCGTTTTCAACAAATGCAAATAACATTTCATGGAATTAGGCCCAAAGATTCTCCCAAAACACAACTTTCCCCAGTGTGTATTGTTTGATGGGCACTTGCTGTCATTTTTACTCACTAATTCAGCACAAAAAAGACAGGCTTAATATATTAAACTCTAATTAAAGTGACTATTAGCTACAACAGGACATATTCATCACAAAGCTAATCCAGCTCGGCAGAGATCGAAAGTGTGAACTTTACATCCGCTGTGGGGAGCACAGCAGAACACTCATCACACCCAGAGTCAGCTTTATTCCCCTACAGGGAATTTTATTCAAATACTGAGAGGGCAAACATGGAGCGCAGCAGAGTCGGAATAATGTAACACGACAGCAGGGCTGATTAGTCGCTCCTGTTTGTTGGAGGGGGATCTTGGGATGGGCCTGGAGGTCTTCAGCAGGTCAAACCCAGTGACTGAGGAAGAGCAGACTGGCTGCAGAGCTGCACTTATCACAGGAGCGAGAGCTGTAACAGCAGCAGGGAGAAATATAAGGCATGTCTGACTTTCAAGATGGTAGAGAATTAGTAGAGTATTTTAACTTAGTAGTTTTGTTTTGTGTTGAATTAAGCAAAGTAAATGAGAAACTTTGCATTAATTTTGTTGTTTTTCACCCCTCCTCTCAGCTCCTATTTTTTTGTTTTTGTTTTATATGACGACTGTAGTACAATTTCTTTAATTACTAAAAGACAGAAGGGACTGGGTTAGGAAAGCACTGGTGTATTAATAGCAAAAGGTTAAACATGAAGGAAGAGTTAAAAAGACTGTATATAATCTGAGATGGTCAGATTGTTCTTGTCATTAGAGGTTGGTGGATCAATGCAAAATATCAATAACATCGGTAGCTATACTGGATTTGATACTAGCATAATACAATTGATTTAGTTTCAGATTCCCTCTTGAAATTTTGTTTTAGTTTTGTATTCTCAAAAAAGATTTTCTTTTGATTTTTTCTCTAATAATATTTTTTTGCATTTTATTTAGAAAAATGCACACAAACCGTATTAATATGTTATATTCTTTTGTGGATACCTATGAATGTACATATTCTGCCTTAGGTTTGAACAAAATAGTTAAAAAAACATATCAAATTTAAATATTGGTATCAGTATTGGTATCGACGATACGGGCTCGGGTTTTAGTTATCGGATTGATGCCAAAATATGCAGAACCACACTTCTCTACTTGTCAGTGCTTCAGATGTAGAACATGTTTCGCCTAGTTTCTAGTGCAAATATCTTAATACAATTAAAATAAGACAAAACTAACTTACAAGTAACAAGTATTCTTTTTTAAATATTGATTAAAAAGTAGATTCCACTTGCAGATTCAAGACATTTTCCTCATGTTTAAAGCTTCACTTTGAAGTTATTATACTTAAAATAAGACATTCACAATAGAAACTACACCACAAATACCTGATAAGATTTTGTGTTTTTGCAGTGTTTATTAATTTTCTTCATGTTTGTCCCATTTCCTTAAGTTTCCTGGGATTTCAGGCTCCATGATGGTATGACTTTGAAAAGTCCAGTGTTTTGTTTGGTTGTGTGAACAGCTTTTCCCCTTCACATATGAGAAGGTAGAAAGTCCCGTAGGCACGAGTAGGAATTACTCAGGCAGCACAACAGGAAAAAAACAAAAACTGTGGATAAAAACATTTTTCATGGAAGAGAAACACAGGAAACTGTATTAGAGGAGGAAATAGTACATGAGCTTCTGTGAAAACCTTTCGCACTGGTGTGTCTCACTCTAGAATTACAACCAGTGAGCAATCCCCAGTGGTTTTAAAGGAAGTTAATCCATCACACCATATGTTGAGGTGATGTAGAAAGTGCTCAGCAGCTGTATCCAACATGACAGGGAGAACCAATCACTGCCAAGTTTCAGGCCTGAAAGGTTTGATATGCACCGTCTTCAGGAAACGCTACTGCTTCTATATTATAATGATAAATGTAATCAATTTACTCCAACACAGAAATCTGCATTTAAAGTATATGTAAATCTAAATAAATGTTTGTTTTTTTCATGCCTACCAGGTGATTCAGATCTTCAGTGCAAAAGATCAAGACCTACCGAGTGCTGGGCAACAGTTCTCCTTCAGAACGTCAAAGGAAGACGTCAAGAATAAGAATTTCACAGTTAGAGACTTTGGAAGTAAGTATGTGAATATGAAGGAAAATAAACAGTGCAAAACATTTTTGAGCTGAACAGTAGGTATTAAAGATAGCTATAGGCACATTTATATTTATATATATTAAAACAATTTAATCTGGGGTGCTGTGGTGGTGCAGGGGCAAAGCACAACCCATGTAGTCTTTATGCCGGTGGTCGCAGGTTCGATTCCCGGCCTGGCAACATTTGCCGCATGTCTTCCCCCTCTCTCACTACCCTCTTTCCTGTCAAACTACTTTCAAATAAAGGCCACTAGAGCCAACAAAACCTAAAAAAAAAAAAATTTAATCTCATATTGCAGACCTATTTCTGACTAAGAAATGTGGAAAAATATAATCTTTCATTTGAGTATATTTCAGTGGAATAAAAAAACAATGTTAAGATATAATTATTTTGAAATAAATTGCTTACGGCAAACTTATTGGCAACTCTAAAATTCTCTAGAAGATAAAAGTAACTAAATGCTTTTTATTCCTCCTTTGTTGGGTCAGATTCAGTCAATTATTAATATATAATTTTCTGATTCACGCTGGTATAAACATGACGTCATCTACATAGTAATTGATTATTTCTACTTTTCCATCACAAATGTAAATGTGGAGTTCGCAAAATGCCCTACAAATATTTTAGATTTGGCAAGTATTGAGTGTTTCAGCAACAAACACTCCACCAGTATATATATGGTGGATGATCTGTGATGCTGTGGGCCTATTTCTGTTCTAAAGACACATAACACTTAAATCAATTGGTTCTGTCAGAAAGCTAAAAATGGGACATCACTGAGTTTTGAAAAATGGGATATTGATCCAATACAGACGGCCAAATTCACACAGAAAGGGTTCACTTGAGATATAATACCAACTGGTTTGGTAGAAAAGGTCCAACAGCAATCATCTTACTAAAAGGTACAGAAATAATAGATAAATAAAATTCAGAGCTAAAGCAAAGACAATGGACGGATCTAACAACGAACAAGGAAAGATCAAGGCTCTAAATGCTGAGGAAGATGGATACAAACAACGACCAGGTGGGTCAGGAGATCACGATAGCATCACTGAAAGAGGGAATCCCAAAAACCCACATTATTAATAGTCAACATCATACTGGAACCATGCAAAACACAAGCTTTCTAACGGCTTTTCCTCCATTTCTACCTTCAGCTAATTAGCTTAAAAATCGCTGAAGATCAAGCAAAAGTTCGTTAGAGTGTCACCTTTCTGTTCTGAAAATAACTTTAAAGCACACGGTGATATGATAAGGCCACATGTGACACTCTTCAGCGCGCGCTCGCCAAGCCCTTTGAAGTGGAGCCAAAGAGACGTGCAGTGAAAAGTGGGACATGGCAGGATGAGGCCAGGGGAAACGAATGGATTCACCGTCCTTGACAAGCCCAGGTCTGAACCTCTGATCCACTTTTACCTTTTGGACACACTGTCTTTCACTTTCCTGACTGCCAGCAGCCTAGGAAACACACTCTGCGGATGGAGGCCGGGATCTGATAGGCAGGGACAGGAAATACAAGCACTGGAGGCGATGCACGCAGGTTGAGCCGGGGAGGGAGAGAGGGAGAGCAAACAAAAATCACGGCTGTGCACAACATGCAAGGTGTGTTAAAACGCCTGACCTCCTGTCAGAAAGAGTGCAGGCTTTGTTGGTGCAACAAACTTGTCTTGACAGGGGTCAGACAACGTGGCTGTGGAAGACAGGAACAGGCAGGTTCGAACTGACATGTCCCCCCTCCCGTGTGTACATTGTCACCCTCTATTCAACTTGCCATCCTTGCACCTCCGGCTGTCTTCTCAACTCGCACCTTTTTCATGTTTTCATCTCTATTTTTCCTGCCAGTACCCATCATAGCTAATTTCAGAATCAATCCTTACTTTGTGAGCAAAGAGATTAGAAAATAAGTCGATCTCGGAGCAGAGGAAGAATAAAAATGCTTGGCAGGGTGTGGTTAGGCGATAACTTTAATAAGATGGGACTGATATGTAGGCATTTTTCATTTCATTCGGAAAGGTGTCAAACACCATCAGAAATAAAGTTTCACCTCCCATTCTTGAACTTCTAGACTTTCTCAGAAGCTTGTTTGATTTATTTCTCTGAACATCCAACCTGCAAAGATAAAAAATAAGCCCTAATTCTAACCTAGTTCTAATTCAAAATAGGTTCTTTTGAATCGATATGAATCAGCATGCTGCATCTCTTTCAGACAACACGGCAGGAATTGTGACAAAGCGGAGCGGCTTCAGGCGGCGTCTACAGGAGATCTACTTCCTGCCTGTTGTGATAGAAGACAATGGCTACCCACCGAAGAGCAGCACGGGCACGCTAACCATTCGTGTGTGTGGCTGCGAGTTGGACGGCTCGCTGCTGACATGCAGCGCCGAGGCCATCTTCCTTCCTGTGGGGCTGAGCACAGGAGCTCTCATCGCCATACTTCTGTGCATCGTCATCTTATTAGGTGAGATCTGGTAGAAAATGGTTTTTCGCAATTTTCTTTTCTTAGTATGAGGTAAAATGTAACAACTTTAACGAGTTTTAGTGTAAAAGTGCATCGCTTCACAAAGTAAAAGGGATTTTCTTTAAAGCTAAATTTAATTTCTGGATAAATTTGAAGAAATAGGATACTTTAGGTTTCAGATAAAATTCTCAAAAGTAACCAGTAAGTTTTAAAAAGTAATGTGTCAGTTCAAGATAGGTTAACTCTCTAGTTCCAGAAAGTAACAGGTACATTTCTAAAAATTAGTTGAAATTTCTGGGTAAAATACACTTTAATTGCACAAAAGTAACCTGATAATTTCAGAAAGTTTTCTGGAAGTTGCAGAAGTAATTTCAAAAAGTAACCTCAATGTTTAAGAAGGTTAACCTGCCAGGTGTGTGAAGAATAGGGTGTGTTTTGTGTGTGTTTTTTGCAAGAAAATATTTTTCCCTGTAAGATTTTGAGATGTCCTAACATGAACCATTAGCAAGAAAATGCAGCTTAGCATGGAGTCTGCAGGCGACAAGGAAAATGGCATTTCCAAAAAGCTGTGCTAAACCCAACTGAAGTTTGACCAACTGTTTTCTGTTTCTTACTTGTGGGGGCAGTAGCGTCCTGCTCTGCAGTCAGAGGAGAATGGTGACGACCGGATTCCAGGATAGTGGTATTGATCACCACGTCTAACTGTTGTCAAAAAGAGAGATGTTGACATTTTATAAAATGTCAAACTACTGACATTTCTATTCCACGGCCATTCATTTGCCGATGGTGATTTGTGCTGCTACCGAAGACGACTTTCGTTTCACAGTTTATTTGTTTGCCATCAAATTAAACAGAAAATCTAAAACTGATCTTATTAATGACAGAAAAAATTTGTCCTAAAAATATGGGGTTATTTGGGTTCTTTTCTTAGGTTTGTCCATTGCCATCCATTTATTACCGATGTTTTCCTTCATAACAGTTTTCTGCAGGTTTCATACATAGAGGCTGATTAATGTAGAGACGTTAATAGATATGTACTAAATGCTTAGATGTTTAGATGTGCTTCAGCATTTCACCGGAGAGCATTTTTGCCTTTTTTCACCATCAGAGCAGGGATTTTTCCAAGAGCAGCCGGGCTTAATTAAATCTCCCATATATGATCATTCAGTGGGACGTTAAAGATCGGGGGGAGGAACCACTAAGCTCTATAAACTAAATTTAATCTTTCTGCCATGTCGATGCCTCCCATGCTACAGTTTTTAATGCTTTCCACAAGGTCACGGTAAAAAAAAGGAAAAGAAAAATACCCCACTTTTTCCTTTAATCTTCTACTATTAACTTTCCCAACTGATCTGCATATTTCAACAGAAGTAAATGTTTGGTTTTACAGTGAAAATTGTGCTCTAACATCTAAAGTTGCCATATGTTACATTTATATAGTTGATAAATTATCACGTCGTGACAATTTGTTATGAGACATGCACAGTTCTTGGCCATAAACAACCAATCAGAGCAAGGAGGAGGGTCTTAGTGCTGTCAATCATCTTTGTGAACATGCTGCTAAATGTGCCTATGAAACAACTTACCTTTACAGAAAAGCTGTTTATCCGCCATCATTGGTGACCATGCAAACTAGCATTTCACAACAGGCTCTGCTGAAAGCAGTGTGAGCATGGGCATGATTGACAGCGCTAAGACTCGCCTCCTGGCTTTGTTGGTTGTTTCTAGTTAGCACTGTGTGCGCCGAAGAAGGCAGAGGAGCTTGATTTTTTTCTATTTCATACATCTTCTATATATGATAAACTACATGTTCCAGCTTTATTTTTAGTACTATTACCTTTCCTAATTGATGCCCAACATGGAATTGAAACCCTTTCTCATTCTTAATCCAATTTTTTATGCGCCTTCTGAATGCATTCAGGTGACATATCCACTCACGGCTGAGTGTTTAGTATGTTATCAAGCATAAAAAGGCTTGTACTGGATTGTGGTGGGTTGCTGCAGAGCCGTCTCGGTGTGTCCTCTCCATCTGAAGGCTGTCTTCAAAGCTCTCGCTTGAGTCAGCCCCTCAAGGCTGAGGCTGACGCCAAACTGTCAGACTGTCCCCGACAAGGGAAGCGGCAGAGAGACTCTGAACTCACACTGTGAGCGTTTCCGTAGAGACACTGAGCAGGATTTGTTGTACCAGGACAAATAATGATGCAAATGAAACAGATCATTGCGAGAGCTTCACTTTGCTTCTTATTCCCTCCAAACTGATGAGCACGGACAACGTGACGGCTCGGCATGCGACTAGAATGCCCTACATTAACGCACCGTCCTGCTGAAGTCTGAAAATGCGCCACTAGGGGGAGCTGCCACACCACAGAACGGCTGATGAATTCATTTGCAAGTGAAGAAAAGCAGAAAAGTTATATAAAGGAGGGGATTAAAGCAGGAGACCTATTTTTTCAACTTCAATGTATTTATTTGACTCTTTCATTTCACTGACTGATTTCAGAGTTATTCCTACCATTGCTCCACCACTGAAGTGCAGCTATACATCACAGAGCAAGAAGAAAAACACATATTTACTGCATTATTCAGAGCACAGACAGACCAAGGGACGCAGAGGGGAGATAGACAGAGTAAGACAGATTGCACTGACAAGAGAGAAGAGAGAGCAGGAAATTTACTGCTTTGCATCGGGAAGAAAACAACACAACAGTGGTCTACTATGCTGTCTAAAATAAGCCGTTTAGGGAACCGCCGAGGGCTTTTTTTGTTTCCATGAGTGAAAATTAGCCTCTAATTAATGTTCATGTGGGAATGGATTGGTTACTGATATCAAAGGACAGCAAGGTTTGAAAAAGATACGGTACCAAAACCGTTAAAATGTTTTTGCAACCCAAAGTCCTTAATTTCTTTTTACCAGGAAAGTCCCACTGACATAAAAATCCTCGTTTTCATGTTTCACAATTAAAATGCCATACAAATAACTAAAAACAATCCCAACTCAAAGATTTCATCTCTAGTGCGAGGAATCATGGATTTTTTTCAAGCCCCTCCGTTGCCCTTTCCTCCCCCAAATTGAAATAATATTGCAAATGTGATCAGATTTAATCATTTATCTGTTTTTCTGTTTGAAGTAATTAGAAGTATTAGTTTTATGTTTTTGTTGAAAAGTCTTGTCTTCCTATCAGGTAACTGGTATTTTTTCCAAACTTATCACGTCATAGGTCTTAATCTGTTTTTTTGTTTTTACCTATTCATGGTTGAGCCCAAATCAGACCAGCAGGCGTTAAACTGTATGTTGGAAAATAGCCAGACCCGCAGTTAGTAATAAGAAATACTTCAGACAAAGCATGCATATCACTGTTGTTTCAACTCACCGTTAAAAGAAGTCAAAATAAAACAAGCGTTGTCTGTGTAATTGAAATAATGAGCTAACTTAGATGTTTGAGCAGGACTCAGAGTCATTTAAAGTCAGATTTCAAGTCCGTACTGTAGGCACAGGGGAGCCTGTGAGTTAATTGCTAATGTCAGTATGTTAACTTGCTCACTAGACGAATACAATGTTCATCATCTTTCTGCTTCATGTTAGCATGATATAAATGCTAATGAGATAATAAACTCGGATGGAAGAGTTTGCAGGAGCTTTCGCATAAAGAATGACCTAAAAAAAAAGTTTAATGATACTAAATAAAATCCAAGATGTACAACCAGGAAATTGAGAAAATGTTCATGTTGGGATAAACTCTCATGATCTTTAAATCATCTGGGAACTGGAAGTTAAAAAAATGCTGCATTGCCAACAGCTGGCTATATTAATTGCTAAGTAAGGTGGGTGAAATGTACTTTAAATATATTTTTTTTAAATTACAGACTGTTCATAAAATAGCCACAGTGGCTGTCAACCTATTGTACAGAACCATACAATCTGCTGTATAATAATGATAATGTTTAATGTTTGTCATAAAACTTTTACATTTTTTATCAGACTCCACACTGACCTGGAGAGGTGGTTTTGGTTTCTCTGCTTTCAGCACACCTGATTTCAATTTATAGCCAGTTAACAAGCGTTTTGCAGTTCAACAAGACAACAAACCCAAACAGAACAGTAAAGGATTGCATGTTGGTTCCAGACCAACAAGATTAACATAACAGCACAGTCAGGACCAATCTTCAGACAAACTTACATTCTGACTGAATGCTTCTGTAAAATGTAAGCCAATAAGCAATAAATCAATTAATCACTTGATGAATTAAAAGAAACTTTGTTTCCATTTGCATGATTGTTTGTATT